GCGTTGCGAGACGGGTATAGTAATAATTTCGTTGCTGGTCCTATCCAGTCGTTGAGTGGACAGAAGAGAAACGTCTCTCTCCTGCACGGATGCCTCGATATTCACTGCTTTCCACTTCTAGCCACTATCCACCATTAATAGAAGATTGAAAGACAGGCAGTATCGAAGCATCCGTACAGTAGCTCATATACGAACAGAGATTGTTCAGTATGGTCTATTCAGAGACTGGATAATACAAGCAAAATCATCACAGACATTATTTGTATGAATATCTGTGTGTTTAAAACTAATCCGGTACCAGTTTCATTCAAAAACAGTAAAAGCTTGTATAAATGAGGTCAAAAAACGTTTATTATGTCTTCGTGTTCTAGTCCGTTTTTATGAACAATGTTGTTAGAACATGCTTACTCGTCACTAAGTTTGAAATTGTAAACATTGTATTATATGAATGTGTGTTGTTATCTATCCCTTTCTCACTGAATATTTGTATAAAATTATCGGATGGACTGAGAAATTTGTACAGCAATCTATGCACCAATAATGGCCAGTTAAGTTCATATCAACGAACAACAAGAAATAAATAGTCAAATTAGTGAGGAAAAGGGTCACAATTGACATCATGATCGGTAGTTAATTGCATAGGACATGCGATAAATTGATAATCTTTGCTTCATTTTAATAAACTATACAATAGGCGTTGATGTCAGCTTATTCTTATATACTGATGTGCTTGTCAGTATGTATGTCATATATCTTATTACACAAAACATCATACAAAATGCATCCACCGTTGACTACCACCATCCGTATTGTAAAGTGTTGAGTCCTCAGGTGATTTGGAAGCATCAGCTTAGAAACCGGTATTCTGATTGAGGATAATCTGTTCTATCCAGTATAAGAACGGGGAATTACGGATCATAGTATTCATAAGCTAATGCACACTTCAGAAAACATGGCCCTTATGACTTAGTAGTATAGTGAATAACCCTCTGATATTTGAATCGATAGGTGGTGAGAAGGGAGACCAATACTACTTGAGTTGTAGGTTCTTTCGGCTAATGAATCCTAAATGAGATGGAATGGGTCACCACCAAGAAAAAATTAATAGTACATATAGTTTCGCATGAAATGAATAGTTGCCTCGTTTTTTTGTAATATCACAAAACACGATTGGACAGGAGGAAAAAGTGTCTGCCTTTGATCTTATTTAGACATGACTGTTACCTAACTTCTGTTCACTATTCCCAGTAAACTCTTACAATACCTACAAAAGAAATACTGAAATCATCTTAATTCATGTGAAGTGAGATTTATATCAGTAAACTGTACATGGGGAAGTTATTCATTTTGTTGATATCCCACTGACAACAATTATGGAAATATAGTTGTAGCAGCAATATAGTCTGCTTGTGAATTGTGTTTCTAAACTATAATCACACCAGTTTACATAAACACAGAAGAAAAGACTCAGAATATCATAACTTAGTTGGTATACAAGAGGGACAATAACTTTGAGACTATTGGTTTGACTCTATCTTTAGCCATAACCTAGTGTCAGCAACAATAGTCCATCAAATCAGGATTATTTCATATAATCTTATTTAAAAAACAAGTGCTTACCCTGTCCAAAATCGCTCAGTTAGTGTACTCTATACCAGTGAGTACAATAAAGAAAGCTTTTTAAATGTCGTCTCTCTTCTGTGTTTTATCGTACCACCTCTTTTTCTGTCTACATATATGCATCTATAGTTCGTTTAGGCAGCTACTGATTATGGCTTTAATGATAAATGTCACTAAAAGTATCGCAGACTTTGTCACAATTGTGGTTTAGAGTAAACAGTAGGAAGTTAAACCAAAAGATCGATATGGCCAAGTAACATAAACAGATGAATGAGATATAGATACAGCCTATAGTGATAACAGTAACGCATTAAGCTGGAAATTAAATACAAAGGTGACAACAACCATGATATTATTACTCAAAGTTTGAGAAACGCCTTTCAGAGAAATTTCAAGACTGAAAATTAATGCTCTATCTTTTGTATTTATCCACCCACAGGTAAACAATATAAAGGTAGATTTCTTGGTTAATCTTCTTCTGTGTACGTTTATCAGTGTAACTGCTGTCGTGAAGCTATTTGCGTACAGTTTGTGACTAAGCAGGTTCGTTGTAGAGTATGTGTGCATCTACAACCTTGGCTGAGTAAAAGACAAATAAGAACAATACAAGGCTTAGTGGTTGCTCATCGTGTGAAAATAAGTCTGCATTTATACCTATCAATATAATATCCCCAGCATCGAATTGACTAACATATTTCCCAATAACACACGGCAAAAGTAACCGGTATTTGGCTTCATTAACTAAATCATTGTATTGAAAAGAAATTTGTTTGATCTCTGTAATTACCATGGCCATCACTAAGGTATTCTTACTGAATGAACTAAAGTTGGTTACAGATGACTTTTGCTTCGTATTCTGCTCATCATATCTCTCTTTTGACGTTTCTGTCTCTGCATAATTAATAATTTTCAACACTTGACCACTTACCCAGATGTAAAGTCAGTAGAACATACAACATAGACGTTTCATGAATTGTGGATAAAATAATTTCTCAGATGCCATGTTGGTATTCACCATGGACTGATAACACTTTTGGAAAATAATTGAAAACTTAGCAGCTCTGCACAGCTGTATGGTCCCAGTATGCAACTTGTCAACGGTGCTCACTTATGACCTGGCCGCGCCAGAAATCCAGCACAGGACCTCTAGTTTCCATGGCCAGAAAGTAACCATTTAGCGACTAGGTTGGCTACCAATGATTCACATTTCCTACTTCTGCCAGTGCATGACATAGAGAAACCTTCATCCAATCATATCACTGAATAACAATCCTTATGTTAGGCTTACTTTGTTCACCGGCCACTATCTGCAATCAGAACTTCGGGAATGCCTTCTGAAAGAAGTAGGAAACGTAAACCACCGACTTCCAACAAAATGACTCGGTGGCAATGTAATGGCCATGGAACCTAAGTGTCGTCGGTTCGGTCCCTAGTTGAGGGCGGTCATGAGTGCGCGCTGCTGGAAAGTCTTATACCAGGATGAAACACCCATGCATTGTCCAAAGGTTTTCAATGGTTCTCTAAAACTGATATGGAGCTATGATGGATATTAACGTGAAACCAATAAAAAATCCTAACAACCCTACCAACTGAATTTTTCAGACAGCCGTTTATTTTTAGAGAATTCCAGTTTCATATTATGTAATATAGATTGGCTTAGGTCCTCATTTGTCGCGACTTCAATAAGACAATTAAGAGACTGTCAAGACTGTCGTTTGTGACTAGTCATTGAAGAGTCACCAATTTAATGCTGTCTAGTGCTGACCGAATTTGGTAATTTTTACCCTGTGGTCACCAGCCTAGTTTACTCATCATTTTGATGGAATTCTTTAGATGTTAGAGGATTTTGGACAGTCGGGAGGACGCCCTGAACCTGGCTTTCGTGCCTTTTGTCACTGTTCAATAGACATACCTCCAACGTCAATAGAACTGATGTATTCTGTGGCATTCTGACTCGCGTCTCTCAGTATTGCGGCCAGAGACGTTATCTATCATTGAGGAGTAACCAGTTTCATGTTGTGAAACCCAGAAGGATATTATACTTGTAGCTAACAGGATTTCAGTTGTGGTGAAACATTTCAAATTTTGAAGTCTCTGAAGGGATTCAAAAGTCTTAGATATATTCTAGATAAGAAACTTTATTCACAGTACCTGACAGCCGAAAGCACCATGTACTAATTTGTGAGATTCCAACATTAAAAAGATCACAGCGTAAATGAAGTCTGAACATTGGCATGGATCTCAGTAGTCTGCTGTATTATAATCACCTATAACCGTAGAATTTGTGTATAGCTGCACACAGATAAGGAAATAATCCGCTGTTGTAATTCACTAATGATTATTTAGGTGATCCAAGATTAAGAATGCCGGATAATATTTCTGAGATTTTAATGTCTCACAAACTCGATGATATAGAGGCGAAAACTAACAAGTTGACAGAAGAGGCAGGGCAGCATCGACAAGACTTCAAGCGAATGTAGAGGAGATGGAGGTGATTAAGATACCCAACCAACAACAGGATCAACAACAAGCACCAACCACCATCAACGGGAAAAATCTAAAATAAGTAGTCTCTTTCGCCTACACTTACCTAGACAGCATCGTTTCAATTACGGGTGACGACACAGAGGAGGATGTCAAAGCGGCCAGGATCCGAAAAGCAAGACGGGCTTTCATTAATCTAAAATTAGTGTGGAGATCTACTGCGGTCCACTCAGCACAAAGAACAAGATCTGGGTTTTCAACAGCAATCCAGTCAAGTCAGGGCTTCGATGTGATGGTTCAGAAACTTGGTGTGTCACGAAAAGCATCTCCAACAAACTACAGACATCCATCAACAGCTGTCGCCTACACTTACTCGATACTCCAGACCAGATGGATGACCGGAAAGAATAGGCAACAAGGAATTCTGGGAACGAACTAACTAAGCAAGAACCTGTCGCCCAACAAATATGCAAAAGAAAGTGGAGATGGATTGGGGATACACTGAGAAGGCCGATTGGGGACATCATGCGCCAGGCGAGGCCCTCGAATGGGTTCCAAAGGGAAAACGACGATTTGTTGGTCGTCAGAGTCGAGGATGACATGGAGAAGATGGTGTGCGAAGAAGAAATGAAAGCTTGTGGGCGGTCGTGGTGGTAGGCTGAGAGGACTACAGAGAAAACAGTGCGATGGAGGCATGCTACTGAAGCCCTATGTTCCACTAGGAACCCATTAGAAAAATAATAATATAATAATCAGTAAGTGGGAAACTAGTGTTTAGGTAATGTGTGAAATAAGCATTATACTGAGTACTTTAAATTATAATGAAACATCTATGCAAATTGAAGATGTAAGAGGGAAGAAAAATTGTTAAAAACCTTCACTGTGTTTCTTTTCAGCTATAAATACTTAAATTTAAATGAATACTTTTATATTGGTGGTCTTCCTGAACCAATGCGTCAGATCAACTCATTTATATCTCCTGATGTCTGGTCCGCGCAATTAAGACATGATTTTCTTGGATGCCTAAGTGATTTAACTGTAAATAAAGAATTATGGGATATTGATTTGGAGAGACGTACATGTTGGTCTAAATCTTTTATTGAATCTGAATGTACAGTTTCATCAACAATTGATTTATGTACAGATAATCCTTGTGAAAATGGTGGTCTATGCCATTCACGTTGGAATACATTTCATTGTGATTGTTCATATACAGATTTTATCGGGAAAACGTGTACAGAAAGTAAGTGATTCCTTTGTCTGACATTTCATGTACTATAATTTTCACTTTTATTTTTAAGAGTAATTTAATGTTAAGCTGTATTGAGACAATATATCATCATCAGTGTCTTATTAGCATATTTTAAGATTTAATTCGAGAATTGTTGACAGGTTTATTCTTTTTTTTTCACGAGATCATAACTGAGTGAGTAGCAAAGAAAACAAGTGATAGACACTTTTTTAGTAAGTGTAAGTAACGTTGCACCATAGACACATTTTGGTGAGCAAAGTTCAGTCAAGTATAGATGAAAAAGACAACTTGAAACGCTGTACTGATGAAAAATCAATAATGAAACTTTGTTCAGAGTCTTAGAATGCAAACGTCTTAGAGTAGTAATTGAAAGTTTTCTGAAACTTCGTAAACAAATGAGTATGCATAAAGTATATACATATATATATATATATATATATATATATATATATATATATAACACAGTGAAACCGGTTTACATGCATTTATCATACTCATTAAGTTCAAGATGACACTTGTGCAGCCAAATTTTTCATTTTTAAGTGAAATATATGGAACTCTGAGAAATAAAAGGACTGTTTGGTTCTAAAATCATTAACCTATACTTTAGGAAAGTAATCTTTTCGAATTATGATGTACTTATCGAGGCAAACAATGTTTTCAGTGAAGTGTGGGCCTAATTTCTTTACTCAAATATAATGCAATAACAGTGCAGTTTTACTGGGCTTTATTTAGGTATGCATAGAGTAGCAGATTGAACATACTTCCTCTGAATGTAGAAATCAGATTTGAATTTGTGAAGTGCCACACAAACATCATTAAAGAGGTTTGATCTAGTACAAAGATAAAACCTGACTAGTTATTCTTAGTTTTTATAACCTTTATAGACGATATGGAACCTCAATAAAAAGCCTTACCTTAAAACCACGGCATAAATGAGGAGTTCAGAAATTCATGCTCATTGTTTCCAGTTCTCGTTCAGAGACTTGTTCACTCTTTGAAGTTCAACAGCAAACAATTGAGAATAATAGAAAAGTGTATTATCTTTATTCTTGACCCATTTTAAGCTGCTGAAAGCCTTCTGTTTTGACTTACTTCATAGAGGAGTTTATGATGTCGCACTACAAGTTACGTTAAGAAGGAAGGCCTAGTGTGTCAATCGCATTTAAATCACATATAGATTTCAAGCTTACTATATGCTATGAGTGAGAAGAACCTCTTTGTCAAAGAATCACTTAGTTGAAGCGCAGACGATTCTGCATAGTTTTATTGTCTGATTAATACAGTTCAGGTCAGTAATCTAAGAAAACTATTTGCATTTCACTGGCAGTTTAAGTCTGCTTTATGCGTTTTAGTTTGATAAGGGTGGAAGCAACTATGAAGTTAAGCAGACTACAGCTTATGATTCGAATATTTTGGTTTCCATAGGAAACCATGATAAAATTTCTTACAATGGAGAGTGTATTTCTGTGAACATTCGGTCTAGTTCTAAGACTTATAAAGTCATTGTGCAAAACTGCTACTTCTTTACTTTAAATTTCATGTCTTCCGGATTGTGACTGGTATCTTTTGGACGTAAGATGTTTTAGGATAACTGAAGCAAAGTATTATTATTATTTGTTCCTTGGGTTCCTAATGGAACGCAGCGTTTCAGTAGCACATCTCCATTTCACTCTCTTCTCTGCAGTTATTTGAACCTGGCTCCGACACTACCCACAAACTTTCACTTTTTCTTTACACGATCCATTCCATGTCACTCTCGGATGCCTAACTCATAGTTTCCCATTTGGATCCCACTCAAAAAGCCTGGCATGGAGCGTAATGTCCTCGAATGATCTTCTTAGTGTATGCCCAATTCATCTCCACTTTCTGAAGTAAATTGCAGTTCACTAAATGAAAAAAATAAAGGTTCTCAGCCTGAACATAATTTGTCACCAAGTTTTAGAATTCATTTGAAAAAGTTATAGACTCAAGAAAGGTTAGACAAAGATTTATTTAGTCTTTGTGAATTATCAGTAAAATGTATCCGATTAACATTTCCGAGTGAATTTCATATAGCCAGAAAACAACAGCTTGCGTGCATTTCATTTTGAGAATTTCACAAACACTGAAGACAGTGAGATATCGGAGCAACCTGAAGTAGGTACTTGTTAATGCATAACTGATGGCCAGTTTACCCTCAGTGTAGACATCAGATCGGTAGATGGCAACCTTTTGAATGCATCTAAAAATCAAGGGAATCAGATGATAATGCTACATGAAGTAATTTCAAAAGGTAAGCAAGGAACTTAGAGACTATGGTAAAATATAATTCCATATTAGATTGTTTATTTGATTGATATAGCCACACAGTAGCACAGCGTAACTTACTTGATGACGTTTCGAGCAGAACTTGTTGCTCATACTCGTATCATAGTAATCATATGACTTTCAAACTCCCTTCATTTAGTTCAACGGTTCTTCATTCTTTCATAGGTAATAAGATTTTTCAGATATCTGCAATATATGACCAGTCACTTCTGTTACATGTGTTAGGTGCGGGTTCAATGAACTAAAATTGTGAGATCAATCTCTATCTCCACCCAGCTATATTTGATTTCAGAACTATCACCCTATCCCTACCATCCTATGGTACGATTATGTGTCAGTGTACGTAAAGTGACAGCTAAGTTTTTCTCTAGATTACTGATCTGAGTTGGATCTACCATTGTATTTTTGGATGACTAGCTTCGAGAAGTATTCCCGAAGTTCCAATGACAAGTCATGACCGGTGGAGTCAAGCCTGATGGCCGTGAGGACAAATACTCAACGATGACATTAAGTGGCGGTTCGCGCTATATCGTGAGCTAACAGAAGTTGGAAATATGGAGCATTGGATTCTGACCCAGTGGCTCAATGGTAACGCGCTGGTCGCGGAACCTGAAGGTCGTGGGTTCGATCCCTGCTGGTGGGGTCGTGGGTGCGCACTGCTGAGGAGTCCCATACTAGGACGAAACGGCTATCCAGTGCTCCCAGGTTTCCTTTGTTCCTCCAACTGATGTCAGTCTTCGATGAATAACAACTTGAAACATTGTATTTTTGTTAAGTGTTTGTATCCTGCTATTCTGAGTGAATCAGATAGACTGCTTTGACCTGTACACTTGACCTAATAATCACTACACTTTATTTGATGAGTCAAATAAATCGAATCATCCTTAGTGTTGCCATATGAACAAGGTACATAAGGATGGCATTCAAGCTCACAAACCAATTAAAAGAATATCTTAATCCTTCAAATACCGCATTGCAGATATCTGGAAAAAGTTCTTACCATTGAGACAAACACTGAAGGACCGTTGGACAATATAAAAGAAGTCTGAAGGTCTTATGATTACCCTAATATGAAAACGAGTAATAAATTCTGCTTGAGACGTCATCGAATAAATTATATTATGATACTGTATGGTATATCAATCAACCAATCTAGTATGGATCTAATAAAGGGTTTTTGAAATCTATATCACTAACGTGATATTGCTGCATAAAAAAGCACGAAATGAAGGTAAACGAGAGCAAATGTTACTGATGCACACTGAAAACTTTGCATCACATACACCCTAGTTATGCCATAATTTGATCACTAGCTTCGTATTACACATATGCTTTAAAGTAGCACCGAATGTTTTGGTAATCCAGAGCTTAGAATATTTTTGAAATGATGAAGAACATTTGTAGCTCAAGCAGATGGTCTTCGTTGTATCACGTTCTCTGAACTGGATTGTTTAATCATGAAGCTTTCATCGTCTTGCTACACAACATCATCAGCACTAACTTCAGTATGAAGTGAGCTGTCAATATCTATCCATGACTGATTTAGTAGCTCGCTCTGACTATTTAGTTTGTGGTTGGTTGTTTCCTTCGATTGTTGTCTCATTGAGTGTATAGACTTTCCTATTGCCTGTTCCTCTGTTTCACCTCTCACCTTTCTGTCATTCATCATTTTTCTCATTGGTTGATAAATTGGGTCTATGTGCATACATCTTTGATCGCTGACTGACTGACCTGAATGCCAAGCTTCTAGGAATTCCCTGACATTCTTCGTGTTTGTTCTGTCCAAAATTTCTACATTGTCCAGACTGAATTCATGTCCACGGTTGTTATCCACGTGCATTGAAATGAGTAATGAAATGTCATGGCATTTACTAGCCAATTGGTGTTGATGTAGACGAAGGTGAAGAGGGTGACCATTTTGTCCAATATGGTGTTGTTGGCAGTTAATGCAGCTGAATTTGTAAATGACATTCAGTTTGGCTTCATTTATTGTTACATCCTTTGGTGTGGATAATAGCGTTTGGATGGAATTTGTCGGTTTATGAGCCACACCAATTTCATGTGGTCTCACCAATCTTGTTTTGATTTCTGATACATTCTTTATGTATAGTAGGACGATGCGTTTGTTGATTTCTGTCGATGACTTTGGAGTTGATGATGTACGGGATATGTATTTTCTGATAATTTTCGTGGGTAGCCGTTTTTCTTTAGGGTGGATATCAAGTAATTTTCTTCTTTTGTCCGTGAAGTTGTTGTGCTGCAGTGTGTTCTCGCTCTTTTGAATACAGTCTGCAAGCAACTGATTTTGTGTGTTCTTGGGTTGTTGCTATTGTAGTTGAGGACTTGGTCAGTGTGTGTTGGCTTCCTGTACACTTGAGTTTCCAGCTTTCCTACATTTGTCCTACTGACTAAAACATCCAGGAATGGTAGTTGGTTGTTTGACTCTTTCTCCATTATGAATTTGATGTCATTGAAAACGTTGTTGATCAAACTGTGGGTGTTTTCTATATCATCTTTTTTTAAGGTGACAAGAGTGTCGTCTACATAACGAATCCAAATTTTTGGTTTGATCACAGGTAGAATAATGGCTTCCAGTCTCTGAATCACTGTTTCTGCTATTTTGATCCAGATATCGGTGATCCATAGACATAGCCATAGACAGTAACAAGTGTTGTGAAATAAAATTGAACCATCTTGCAATATAATTCTTGCAATGTAAAGACTACATTTTAAAGAATTCTCAATTCTTAATGAAGACATTCAAGGAAGTAATTAGAAAGTATCTAGAATCTCAAGTTTTTGTTAGCATTGAGATGATATCATGTAAGAGTCGAACAACCTGTATTCAGAAAAAATCCAATTTGAAAAATATTCCTTGACTTTTTGATTATTAGTGATATCTAAATAAGAACTGATGTTAATCTACCGCAGTCGTTATAAACAGAGCTTCTCTTCAATTTCGGTTTGTTCTTATTCGGAAGTAAAATATGGTCTCAAACAGTCAATTCCTGAAATATCATGGGTAAACTGAGTTTTTAGTTTAATGAATATATAGACATTTTGAAAGTATCATTAAATTCTCATTAGCTAGCTATCAAATTGAGTATAATTATTGTTTAATGAGGAAACTGTCAAAAAAATGAATGTCTTCCTAATTGAATTGGAATAATTTTCAGCTAATTAAATATAGAAATGAAACTAAGAAAAGTATATTTATTGCTCAATATATATTCAAAAATTAGCAAACTAATTGCTGTATCTTGGGGAACATAAAACAAGAGTATAATTGAGAGATCATAGTAGTTTTTTTTTTTGAGAAACAAATTGTAAAACACATTTTTTCGCCCTAGAAATAAAAACTTCAATTACACATCAACATTAAATAAATGTTTATTAGTTTCAGTGAGATAATTTTCTGTTGATTATCTTCCATTCATTCTTTTTATTCATAAACTCTAGATCCTATCATTGTCGCCTTCAATGGATTTCAATGGATATGGATAAAACTGTATCCACTTCCGATTCAGTCAGCAGTTGAAGAGTTGACACTTAGATTTAAAACAAAGTATATGCATGGATTTTTATTAACAACACGAAGTTCTAGTCTATCGGCGCCAGATTGCTTGGAATTAAAAATTATTTCCGGTTATTTATTGTTAATTTATAACTTAGGTGCCAAAGATAATGTAAGTGTTAAGATTGGGCAATGAAAACGTTCATATTCTTGACATTTAATTGATCGTATCAACCTTTTCTGAGAATGACTAACGCAAATCTACTTACTGTTGAATTTCTGAACGTTTCTCTGATTTCTCAGCATCTGTAACCCCTTGATAGTTTCAGCTGAAGTTTGTGATAGAAACACAAATATTTCATTACATAATTAGCGCAACTCAGTAAAACAGTGTTACATAACAATAGTGCATGATATGTAATGTAATTTGAGTACCCATCTTGAAAAATGTATAACTTTTGTGTGTGACATTTTGTGCAACCAACTTTTAAATCTACTCCTCGTGTCTCAGTTGGTAGAGTAAGGGGTCGCTAATTTGAATTCAGCCGTGGTCCAAATTTTCATTTCACCCAGTATAAAACTACTTTTATTACTTTGGTTGCTGGCTGACTTCCTGGCTTATATTCATTTCTTAACCGTCATGTACCGTTTAGAATTCGGGAGCACCGAATAGTTGTTTCGTCCCAACTCAGGACTCCTTTGAAGTGAGCGCTTATGAACTCACCCATTTCCATCGAGTTGCTGAGTCGAAGGCTAAATGTCACACTCCGATACGAATCTCCATAATCTTCAAATTGAGTTACTCTTCACAGCACATAAGTAACATGCTCCCTGATGAGATTTCCTGAAGTTCTTGTGAAAAATCGTCACTGGTGGGGCAAACTAAGTTTGGCTTGACACCAAATAATCAAAGATAGCAGTGGATGAAGTTCGAGCAATATCGCGAATGAAAATACAGAGGAAAATATGAAGCATTGGATTCTGACTCATCGGCTAAAAAGTAACTTGATGACTAAGAAACCTGAAGGTCTAGATTTGTATCTCTGATGGGGAACAACACGAGTTCGTAATGCTGAAGAGTTTCATACTAGAACGAAATAGCTGTTCAATCCTCTTAGATTTTCAGTGGTTCTCCAGCTGATATCAGTCTGCGATGCGTATGAACTTAAATTCAATACATCGCTAAATACCTCCAAATTGAATTATTTTTCTAATGGCTACAACTCAAAATTGCATGACTATTAGTATCTGTGCTTCTCATTAATGAATGCTCTCTTGCTTCAATAATTAAAACAATAGAAAATAGTATTTATTAGAGAATTAAGTCTGTACTTTTAATGTCTTTTTCCAGATTTGGTTTAATTCATTCACTTGACGTAAATTAGCTATGCTTTGAACATAAATCTTGTGACTTGTTGACGAAAGCAGGACAGAAGAAAGTTTCTTTTTTATTAGGCCACAAGAGAAAGTTATACTTTTTTCAACTGAATAATGAAAATATGATTTTTGAAGTAAAATTAAACGCATATTTGTGAGACATAACTAAACTAGTGGGTTTTGAATACGGCTTTATATTAAAGCCTTAGAAATACGATAACCAGACAGTCATCAGGTTGAGGTTTCGCTTTATTCCCAAAGTTATCATCTCATTTATTCAGCATACTTAGCCAAGTTTTCTCGGCTCATCTTTAGTCAACATAAACAAAAAAGAAAGGAAAATGTATTGACTCTCAGCCAAACTATGCGAGATAATTTTCACTGAGACTGTAGCGAAAAGTGTTAATTACAATAAAGATACAAACTTACTTCATAGTAGGATTCAAACAAGAGTTCGTCAAAAAAAAATTATTGGCTGTATAATATCTCATAATCTCAGTACCTGGTTTTTAAATGTCCTACTGTACACTTGTGATATCTCGATGTTTTATAACTCCTTAAGGACCCCTTTTTTGGACTAGTTTTCCTGCAATAACAGTACTTTCAGTCAATCATAACTCATGATCTACCATATTATTTCTATAATATTCAGCACGTTTTACATTTTAACTCCTTAAACACTCACCAAAAACTAAAAATACTACTTTTCCCCTCTGTTTCGATACAGAATAACTTTCGAATGCTAAGATAGTGTTGTTCACGTCAGCTGTGAAAAGAAAACAAACTTCAAATAGTATGAGATATATTTCTGCTGTTACCGCTTCAAACGTTTTATATCCAATGCAGATATTTACGAAAAATATTATCGTCTGCTTGGTAGTTGGCAATGGAATCCAAGATACGCGTCTCATCCTTTTTAGAACTTCATACCAAGATGTGTCTGCACCCCAATGACGGAAGAAATACGCGTGTTGGATTCCATCTATAGTCACCAAATAAACAACAACTGAGCTACGAGGTCAGCTGGTAGAGGATTAGCCTAGAAACCTATAGGTCGCTGGTTAGAATCCAACCACAGTCCAAATTTTCATCTCGCTTTTAATCAGTATATAAATATTCAATCAACTATATGATGGCCAACAGTTATAATGTCTCTGAAATCATCAGACATTTCAATAATCCTGTTATTCTTTATTATGTATTGTTGAACAGAACCCCTGTTAATGTTTTAAAAATGTTGTACAATGGGTAAATTGATATAATATCACACGCTGAGAATTCGGTACTGTGAACGCAGTTATGGTGCGGATCAAAGCACATATATTATTATTGTTATTATTATCGATAATATTACCAATACATACTTAGAATCTTTTATCACATTTTCATTCTCGATCTAGGTATATCACAACCCGGTATATGTAGCTGACAATAATTGGCATACTGTAAAAATTTATAGGCGAGAAAATTTTCTCAACGTCACAGTTGATTATTTGTCTCAAACTTTTGGTAAGTATCGAAATGATTCAGTTAGTTGTTTGTATTTTCTATTGTTCATTTTTACTTCAGGACAAAGCAGAACCACTTGAAAACAGAATTTATCAACAGACTGATAGAATTATGTTTATTGCATGACTAACATAGTTCCACTGAAGCATAGTTTCTGACCATAACCTGCTGCTATATTTTGAAATATTCTGACATTATTCTATCTAGACTTATCTTTATCACTTGAATATGCTTAACACTACTTCTGACATTATTTATTGATACATTCATTGACCATTGAAGAATAACCGATTTCATGTTGTCTAGTCCTATGTACTGATCGAACTCAGTCGAACATTTTACAGTGTGACTACCAAGGTAGAAGGCTCAGTGTGCACTGTGATGGAAACTAACTGATTGAAGGTAATCAGGAGGAGATATTTGGACCTAACTTGAGTGCTTGTTGTCATACGTCAGCAAGGCGTATGCGCAACCACAAGGGAACTGATGTTAGGCCGCAGATTGTAACCCGTATTATTTAATGTGACAGTTACCGGTTTTACCTCTGCGATATTTGGGCGCTGACTGATATCCTGTACGAGCAGATTATATACATTGGTTACCCCTGGAGAGTGACTGTTAGCCTACTAGCTTGATGGATATAGTGCAAAATGATCAACGGAATCCGATCAGCACTCAAGACAAAATCAGACTGGTTATTCTCCAATGGAAATTCACTGTATGTAATCGAGTCCTGCAGGGAAGTCAGTCACTGCACAAATAGCTTGGTGGTAACGTCGCCGAATGAAACACTGTGTGGCAACGGTCAGAATGTGATGCGAGACATAAGTCCCACCGAGGTTGCGGATGCGTCACATTAACAAGTGCCAACAAGTAGGAAGACTGGATCCATAGCTTCTAGCTGATTGCCTTTAACACACGAACATTATTTACTGACACTGGGCAAGTTCAAAGTGGGACGAAACGCGCCTTCTCGATTCAAACACCTAGTTAACCAGCTCACTAACTATTAGCCGATCCTAAGCCTAGATAAAAAGGGAAGATTAGGCATAGGGCTAGCAACCCTACCTCGGAAAACAAATCTAATCGCTAAAGAAACTTCAAAGCAAAATAAGATACAAAAAATAAAAATAAACTTATTCCTCGCTGGAATTAGGGAGGCGAAATGATATGGAATAGATCATGTGAGGAAGAAGTGAAAGTTTGTGGGCAGTGTTGGAGCCAGGTTCAAATGACTGTAAAGAAGACAGTGAAATGGAGATGTGCTACTAAAGTCTTATGTTCCACTAGGAAATCAAAGGATAAATTGTAATAATATTATTATAATTAAATTCACATAACAATCGCACAAGACCCTTGGTGATTGAAATGAAATTAAGATCGGTTCAGCTGCTGCGTCTGATAGCTCAGTTGGTGGAGGGCCATGCCGGAAACCTGGTGGTCGGTGCCTCAACTCCTGCTATGGCACATATTTTCGTTTCACCTTCAGTCACTTCCCAACAAGAATGCATTCGTGAAGATATTTCAAGATACCTAAGCGTTTCAATACTGTCTAAATACTAAACTATATTTTACTTACTCTTAGTTGCTCAGATTCAAACTATTACCAGCTGAAAAGAAATCTAGAACTAACGTGTTACAGATGGAAACCAAAATAGTCAAAGAACTTAATGTTATCTGCTCGACACCACAGTTGGAATCGAAAATGCCAGCATGAAGCTGTATGTTATATGCAACGATCTGATCGTAAAAGATCGGATTTACAACGCTTTGATGTGAGCAGTCCTACCCTACTCCTCTGAAACCGGGCTTATCCGAGCACGGAATGTGCGACAACTCTAGTCGGTCATCGTTGTCTCTGTAGGATTGCTTGTATCCAGTGGAAATACCACATAAGCAATTCTGAGTGATAACAGCGTGTTTTGGAGGATGATAGAAGTCATCATTCAGTAAGTGAAGTTATCTGTAAACACCAGCTTCAATGATTTGGACGTGTGATACGCATGTCGTACTACCGGTTTCCATACTGTTCATTGTTCCCTACTCCTGGGGCTGGAATGAAGAAGCAAAGGCATGGTCAGTGTATGACGTGGCACCGTGGGATGTAGGGTAGTTGTGTCAGGTTAGTCTTTGATCGTGCATCACGACTCCCCGGTTGAAATCGGAGAGATCAAGCAACTAAAAGACTTGAGACATTATCAGATGTGGCTCAGAATGGAAGGCAGTTGGGGTCATGTTGTGGCTTCCTTCTATCTTCCGCTGGTGAAAAGTAATGAATGTTCTGTTTTGAATGTATCTTACTGGACTGCTCTTTTAATTATTCTTGGGTTTTTTTCCATCCACTCCCGTTTGCTTTGTCTTCAAAATAGTATAATACTATTTGTTTTTGAGCATTTCTCGGTGCCGTTGCTGTACCATTTCTGTGTTGTAATAACAACAATAATCAGCCATGGAAAACAGTATAAGCACACTTATAGGTCACTGAAGAGTGGCTGATTTTTTGCTCTCTAGTCCTGGATGCTGACTGGCTTCTGTCACTCATTTCCGAAGAATGACCACTAAATTAGAAGACTTATTTCGGTGTACTTTTATAGATGACAGATAGATGGAGGTGATGGAGTTCCTGCCGATTGTTTCCGACCAACTGACAGAGTATTCGCATCATTTATTGCCTGCCTCACATGTAGCCGTTTTATATGAACATACGCTAGAAAATATACAACAGTAAAAGGAAAATATATTCGGCTGTCCACTTCTTAAAGTTTTTAGTTTAACTTTTAACTGGCATGATATAGTTTACATATTCTTATTGTTGTAGACATTCCAAAAGATGGTCGTTATCTTTCTCATCATCAATTGATCTTTGGTTCCTCTGAAGATTCACTAACAAATAGACTAACTGATACATCATCACAATTTGACCATACTTATAAAATCACCAACCTAAACACTCATGTTTTCATTGGTTACCTTATGGTATTTTTATTCAATGGAGTTGATTTCTTACAAACTGTTCAAAATTTAAAACATGATCCAAATTTATACACCTGGAGAGATAAATTAGACATTACAGCTGACCAGAGTGACTTTGTTCCTGTATTGGAGATGCCAGTAACTTTCAAGGATAGTGATTCATATATCAACATTCAACTTGATCATCCTGCAGATGAATTCATTTTGGAAATGCGGATAAAGTTAAAGGTGAGTTTTTTTTCGGATTCATAAAAAACCATGAATTTCAGTTGCCAAGGCTTTTAAGGCACTTTAAGTAGAAACTTTAAACTATTTCGTGATCCAGGAATTTCTTACTTTCCTTTACCTGATAAACTTTGTAGGCTTGAATAACTTTTCGACAGTGAGTTTTCTAAAATCCCAGCGATTTTCAAGTCTCATCCTTATTCAATACAGTGAAACACTGTTATTCATTCATCATACGTTAAAAAAATTTCGATGAAACTCGATGGAATTCAGCGTGTCATTTTATTATCAACAAAAGGAATTATTTGATTGATTTGGATTGTAGATGTCTTGAAATGTGATATACAAAAGGAGGAGATTAAAACGGACATTTTATTCTGGCCGGTTCCTGCTGTCACATATTTGTTTGGTAATTCCAGTTGTTGAAATAAAAAATTTCTTTCATTCAGCGGAGGTAAATAGCTCTCTCTCAATAAGATTAGACTGAAAGCTCCTAAGTCGTTAGCTTTGAAGTTGCATGCTCCAATACTTCACCTTTTGTTGTTTATTGGTGGTTGTTAATTTCTGCTGACTAGTGAAATGGAACGAATTGACCGATCTCTCATGAACTTTTGGGCTTCTTCAAGAGGTAACTCGACAATGAGTCAATTTTCATTTCGATTTTATTTGTTTGTTGATGGCTAGCATAGGAATCCTAGAGACGCGTTTTGTCCCATTTAATGAACTACACCCAGTAAAGTGCTGAAACACTCAGCTTCTAAGTCCTAAACACGATGAAATCTATGCAGTGGGTAGTATTTCTATTCATGGCCAAGAACACTTCGTCTTTTACTCAGTAGGTATTGACAATATTTTTTTAGTTAAACATCGTAATGTGTACATGTCATATAGTGAGACAACAAGCCTACAAATACAAGAGTGATGGATTAACATTGAGCAAACCATCTTTGGATAAGTAAAATGAAGAAGCATGAGCGTCAAATAAAAATGGACAGAAAAAAGATTTTTAAAAATCGAGCATTTGAATAACATACAGGTGACTGAAAAACTCTTAATTATAAAATCGCTGTCTCAAGAAAACATACTCCATTGATGTTGTTGTCTTGTGACGTTGTCTGGAATGACACAAAAAAATATTCAGGGTTAAATCATTCAGGTAAGAGAATACAACATCATCAAAGTATCCGCATGAGCTACAAATATTCTTTATCATCTCAAAATATATTTCGTTTGGACACATTTTATACTGGATTACATTTGATCGTAAATAAGCTTTCCTAATTTTCACATTCCTCTCTTAGATATTATCATTAAGATTTGATGGGGATCAATTCAGTTATTCAAATACTGAAAGCTTGGTTGATAAAACATAAGACATTCTAAGAACAGAACGTTATAAAGAATAGAAGACAGTTATTATTTGGCATATTTAAAACATTAATGTGGAGCAGACACTTTCTACAACCATTTAAAAAGAAAACGATATGATTCATAAACTAAAGTGTGAATATTTCTTTCTTGTTTATTGCCTAGTCAGTTTCTGATTTCCTTTAGGCGCCTTTTCAGAATTTCATATTTAATGTATTTATATAAGCATTCCGCGTTGTATGTATACTAAAGAAAAAAAAATAGAATTTAGTCGTTTTTTTTAGAAAGGAAGACAATAAGCGAAAAATAGTTTGAAACTTTATTATTTTATTACAAAGTGTAGACTACTACAGACTACAGTGTTATTGTTTGTATTACACCGTCGTTGATTGGACTGAACTGATCAGTCTCTGTTGGTATATGAGCTCCTGTGCGGATGCCTTGATATTGCCTGTCTTTTAACTATGTATAGTAATGATGGGCAGTCACTAGCAGTGGAATCCAGGATGTGCATTTCGTCCTATTTGGGACTCGTCAGCCGGAAGTACCTGCTTCCCAGTGAGTGATGTTGTTCCCACCGGGACTTGAACTTGGACAAGCCATAACACTAAACTTATACCCGTCGCACAAGAAGTGGTTATAGTGGCTCGATAGTGTAGTGGATTACGCTGTCGCATTTGAAGCAGTCGCTCCCTAGTTCGAGTCCCGGTGGGGCAACACTCATTGGGAGGCGGGTGCATCCAGCTGACTGGTGAGTCCCAAATAGGAAGAAATGCGCATCCAGGATTCCACTGCTAGCCAGTGCCCATCATTACTATACTACAGACTACAGTTTATAACAAATAGGAAAACAATTATTCGCTGAGGTAGAATGTTAACAGATAATCAGTGTGAATAATGAACCATAGTTTAGTCTTGTGTTTTATATTTCAAACGTTTAGTGTTTTCTTTGTCGATTTTAAAGTTGAATATACATTTTGTTTTTACCAGAAATATGGTTCAGTTCTTCACCTATATAATGATGTCGATCAAAATTTTATCTTAGAACTAGTGGATAGTGGATTTCGATTTATACGTGTATATAATGGTCAGGCTGAGAAACATCAAGTTGGTGAGGAACAGAAGTTAACTGAAGCGGAATGGTATTACATAAAAGTAAGTAACGTATAAAACATTTTTTTGTTGAGTAACACTTTTCTGCCGGAGACATTCCTAATGTATGTAAATGCTACGAAAAACTGTACTAAGAATTCATAGTTCTAGGTAAAAGTATAATATCATCTCCCGTCAGTCTTTATGAACTTCTGGATCAGTAAGGAAGTTTTCATTTACTGAAGAGGAACCTTTCGACTTACAACATACTGGACGGAGGTAAAACTTGTTCACAGTACGGATGCAAGAATATGGTTTCTATAATGTGTATGAAACTACAAGGATATTTTACTTACGTTGATACCAAGTAATGATTGGAGGATTACAGCAGGATTTGAGTCAGTAGCCTCCTGGTTAGCAGCCCAAGACTTCACTAACAGAGATACGAGGCTCAACTACTGTCCACATCTTAATTTGGCTCTGATCGTCAATGGTTCTTCCTGATTACTAGTTGAATTCATGATTCATGACCGTCCATTCATTGTACTCACAGCGGCTTCCTAGTCGCGTTTTCCTATCCAATTCAGGATTCACGAACCCCACCTCTACCCAAATTTTCATTTCATCGTCAACAATCATGCAGTATACAAGTCTGCCAAATGACCGCCATCTCATATAGTTACTTTGATACATTTTCATAGTGTTGGAGATTCATGATATTGACAAGCAGTGAACAAATTACAAAGAATTTGCCATTGTTTTGATAAAACAGGAACACCCTTAGACTCATTTCAAAATCCCTTCAGAGGTATCTCATTCATTTTTCACATCAAGGGTGATTTGATTCAGGATTGTTAAGTCTTGTTCTCCCCTTCCTATTCTTATGTTTCATGTAGCCATAATCGAAGCTAAACAGATTTTTATTTGGATCATTCTACAGGTTAGTTTCTGACTAGATTACGTGAGTGGTTCAGCGCTAGTCAATTTTCTGTTTTGGGTAACCTCCCCCCTTCTCATTACGCTGTCTAGAAAAACTGTTGGCAGTCACTGTTACAAAAATCTCATTGGCTATGAGCATTTGCCACAACAATTCATCATCGACACAGTTGTTTTTACTATCCTTTTGTGTACTTAATAATACAGCATGGAATTCTCAGCATAGTATGTTTCAAAACATTTACCCCATTTTAAACGTTTTTAAGCAAATAATAACAGCATGTTAGTGATGTTAGTAATAACAGTACTGTAGGCAATAATATGTAATATAATGCTGTTAAGTTCTTGTCTGATATTAACGATGGCGGAATAAATAGAAAAGTATATATGAGTTATGTGGTGTTGGTTGTTTGACCAGTTTGAAAATATGCGATCTAGGCTAAGTATTTCACGAATAGATGTATTGTTGTGATATTAAAAACTACATTGGTATCTGTTGAGATGTGTTATCTTCATTTTATTGCTGACTTGCCGAAAAAAGCTTTTTTGAAACATTAAAAAAATGCACCAGATTGCAAAATATGATTCGGAGGTATAATCAAACGATTTAACCAACTAGAAAAGGAGTGATTTAATGTTATTTATTTGGTAGAAAGTGTTTAGTTACCCAGGTTTCAAGCAGACCACCCGTTCACTATTTAAGTAGCTATTTTTTATTGGCAGCTGATATATATACATAATAAGATAAACGATGATCCATCATCCATTTTGAATAAGGACATATTAAGGGCGTTTGTCGAATGCAGCACTACTGTTAACCGTGAGTTTGCTTGGTGTGTAGCAGCCGTATTCTTCATAAGGATGGATCGCCTTAAGAGGTAAATCATTGACATTACAATGTGAATAATACAAGTAATATAATTATGCAGTTTATAGCAAACAACCTCTTCAATACTTGAAAGAGTTAAGGAATTCTTCATAAATTTCTTTGTGACAATATACCTGTTAATGACAATGTGAGTTAACCAGTATATAACTAAGTAATGAAACTAATTTATGTCTTATTCATTTCAGATCATTCAACGGCCACTAACGCAAGAACTTCTGATTCTAATCAATGATCAGCCAACTTATATCAGATTAGACAATTCAGGTTACTTCACTTTAAGGTCTATAAATATTGGAGGATTATCTGCAGAGTAAGATTTTGATATTACCCCTTTTTGACACAGTTCAGTGAGACTATTAACTTCAGCTTTTTTATAAAAATAAACCTCAGTTAAGATGAAAAACGTTTAGGAAGGGTAAGAAATGCGAAAAAAGAATACGAATATTCAAGGTCAAACTAGATATAAAGTGAAAGGTATTTAGAATGAACATAGGCTGGGTTAGTTACATGGCTTCTAACTTGCAACTGGTCCTGGCTATAGGTTAATCTGAGGACAGTTTGCTAAGTGTTTAGTCGAACGACTAATGTTGTTCACAAAGTGAACAATTCATGGTTAACTTTTGTGCAGGAAGTCTTGACACTTTAAAGGAATTCATTTTTCACAGGAGTCATTGCAAATGAGGAAACTACTTGATTTGGTAAATGATTTTAAACTGACTCAGTGATAACTAACTGATAGCTTAAATGTGATCATGTGATTGTCTTTCTGCGTTGAATAGCTGCGATTTAGTAAGACTGGCTATTCAGTGGACTTTGTAGTTAAGTATATGAATGTTACGAAGGTTAAGACAAGAACACCAACAGTTCCTAAGAAGCGAATCTTTTAAAAGCTGAAATTTAAGAGTGATATTGGCAGTGAGTTCGTCACACAACGCATAAAAAGGTGTTTGCGAAAAGGATTCCCAACCACTAAATTATGTCCCGTCTTCCATAACCGCGCTATTCTAGCTGCTGGAAAAAGAGACAAACTGGTGGATTCTGCCCGTGTTTCATGTGCATTTATCAACTCAATTGCTCGTGTGGAGCTAGTTATGTTGGGTGTACGGCGAGGCAGGTCCATCATTGAATTTCTGAACACCACCCATGGTTGGGCAAGAGACAAATTAGAACAAGAAAGAGCTCCATGCTTGCACACTTAGTTGACCCTGGACACGAAGCAGATACTGGGGAAGCATTGAAAATTAATTATCAAATACCAATTAATTTACAACATGGATTGCATATCCCCTTAATTCATATCGCTGAGACAGTTGCGATCAACCTCTACAAACCTAACTTTTGCATACAAAAAGTGTGTTCGATCATTTTCATTACCGTAGGCGTCAGCGTGATGTAACTTTTAGTATCACTTTGTATACCTCTTCTCTTTCTTGTTACTATTAACATTCATTTGTTTTATTATTACGTAGTGATTCATTGTTTATGACTGAACACTGGTTCGAAGTCACTTCATTTACTGTTGCAGTTATTATACAGCTTGCATAAGACTTATCTGCTTCATATTACCAATTTTAATTGCTTGCTGATTATTTGCGCCCTATTTTCCAAAACTCATCTTCATGACTTATTTGAAATCTATAACTATTGTTCACCAACTCCTCGTACCACTTGATTGGTATTTTAACTGAATTTTAAACCAGTATATTAGTTTGGAATCCAAGACGAATGACGAAACTGAAAAAGACTGTGTCTATTCGCTCAGCCAGTCCATCAATAAAGGACCTCATAGCTCAGTTGGTAGAGCATGGAGGCCGGAAACTCCGGGGTAGCTGATTCGAATCCTCCTACTGTCCAAATTTTCATCTGACCTTTAATCATCATCCAGTATCAATACCAGTCTCTCAAATCACCGCTATCTCAGATAGTCAAAATAATCATTTCTAAATGTCTTAACGGGAACATTCAATACACTGAATTTAAAATTTGATATAAAGTGCATAAGATTTTGTTACTCTCAACTGTCATAACAATTGAAACACATTCAGATCACAAAGATTGATGGCAAAGTTGAAAGCAATTCTGGGTTTAGTATTAGTATCTAACCTTAACACTATAGATCTATCTACCACCGATTATGATATTTGACAGTTTAATAAACTATTTTCCCTTGTTCTAAGTAATTTTTGTCTTAATAATCAACACTTGAAATTAATTTGCTTGTTGGTTAATCTGACAATATAATTTTGAACTTAATGCAGGTTATCTGTCTCATTCGATGTTTTTGGCGATATTTTCTCAGGAATTCACGTAATAGAGAAGAGATTTATGGAATACACAGATTAAGTAGTCGTAGGGTAGACGCCACATTGTTTATATTTTGAAAGCTACTTTTACAGTAAAGAATCTCTTGTTCAGTTTCCTGTGATTTTATTATGAAGTCTGAAGTTTTTTGGCCATATCCAGATCAAAGATGGGTTGCATTGTCTTGAAATATCTAGACAGTGAGTCAATATGCTTCACTGTATATTATAAACTTGTGTAATATGGGCAAAGCATATTAGGAGAAACAAAATAAATTTTTTTTCTTATTCCTCAACACTTCCGTCTTGCAAGGAAGATCCTTTCGAAGAGTATAAATATAATGTGAGGCTTTCACGTTAGCATTCTTGTTCTATCTAGATGGTAACCTTTCTGATCGTCCAAGTCGTTATATTAGAACGAAAAGGAATATGATTGAAGTGAGGGGTTCAAAGAATGGATCAGAAAGGCTCATTATAGTTTTATGCAAGCAAGTTACTACAAAAATACGGCAACCAATTGTTTCGATGTTATTACTTTCAAAGTCCGTCTCTCATTGGATGGAATTGATCAACCACTATTGGTCTGGATATTGACAAATTTTTCATCTTTGATATTGTTGACAAACAATGGCCATCAGTGGAATCTAGGATGTACGTTTCATCCTACTTGAGACTCACCAAGGAAAAGCTGAAAGTCATAACTCCAAAAGTGCACTATACGCAGTGGACAAGGAGAGGCTATTGAGACTCAGTAGTTTATTGAATAACGCTCTGGCTCTTGAAGCAAAGGGTACTCGGTTCAAGTTTTAGTGGACACAACAAAACCCACTAGGATGTAGGCATATCCAGATGATGAGTCCCGAAAAGGATGAAAAGCACGTCCTTGATTCCATTGCTAGCCACTGCCGATCATTATTATCGAAAAATCATACACTGGAGGGATGAATCTTCATTGAAGATCGGTGGTAAATTATTATTTGAAAAGTGTGAACATACTGGAAATAAATCGTATAAGATAATGTGACTGAGTGACATTTAGTCAGTAACTTTCAAGGTCACCTAAGTAACTGACAATGTAACCAGTTAGGGTTTTATGTCATGTGTTAAAGCTCTCTATCTAGAAGAAATCGAGAAAGTTTATTGGTTATCTTACTTGTCGGTGTGAGGGCTTTTTAAAGTCACTCAAAGCAAACTATTTTGCACGACTTTTTCCTTTACGAAAGATATCTTGTCACCTAAATTTATAGCATCATACGCGACGACAGAACGTTATTCAAATATTTCTTGTTCATGGGAATCTTTTCGCTGCTGTTTGTAGCTTTGACTGTGTGTCAGTTTGATGTGATTTGTCTTCAATATATGTAACATTACACTCATTACTTTTAATCTTAATGAGCACAGTTCTGTTGTTCCAAGTGGGAAATCAGGTCTTCCATTCTTAATAGTTGTTAGTGCAGTGTTTGGCACTCAAAAAGAGTACCCATGTGTTGCGAGTGAGAATAATGCGTCTTACTCCTTTGGATGTGCATTTCAAATTAGGTAGCATTTAAGTATTTATACAATCTTAACGATTTGATTTTATTGATGGGCTTTTCAGATAAACTTATTTCCGACTTTTTGTTAACTTGTTCGGATAGTTTCTGTACAGTAGAACTTTTCAAACAAGTTGCCTATCTACTGTCTGCGATTCCGGTTACTTTGGTCTCATTTGATATTTGTTAAAACAGCTTTTTGATATCTAACTTAATTCAATTAGAAGGTTAGTGGGAATTTACTGATTTCCAGCCGGTATTCCCTAAGAGCCTCCAAATAAAGTTGCTATCTTCGGCTCAATAATGACCTACTTCGAGATAAGATTTTTTGACTTTCTAATAAGAAGTCATGAACGGTGGGATAGAACAAGTCGGACGTGAGGATAAGTACTCGATGGCAGCACTGAATAAAGGTCGTGTTATGTCGCGAACACACAGGAACGGGAAACTTTGAAATATTGGATACCGATGTAGTATTCAATGGTGACGTGGACATTAGAACAACTGAAGGACCTGAGCTCAAACGCTGACAGTGTGAGCACTGCTGGGGAGCTACATAACAAAAAAACACAAGTGTTTAGCGTCTCTCCAGCTGATGTCATTGTGTGGTGGATATGAACATGGCTTATGTTCTAGTGGATGAGCTGACTTAAATCTTAACCACTTACTACCTCTTTGGTAGTTATCCATATCATACAAATCCTTACTAACACATTTAATCTTGGAGGAAAGCTAGAGTTTTGGTTTCTGCTTCTAATTCGCAAATGAATGTCATGAAGCAGAAAGAGCTGCACAGATATTCAAGAAGGTTTCCTCGACCACATTTTTTGGCTTGGACAACGTGTCATTGACATTCACCCACCATATTCTTGGCTTTGCATCAGACTGACTGAGTAGATCTTATTCAGCTTTGCTCATGCATAAATAAGGTGAAGTCAAATTTGTCACGAAACGTTAATTGAGCAGGTTATTTTATTCAATCGTCGTGGTTTTGTATATCCAGTGTGATTCAAGCAACGGTACACTTTTATATGCTACCTCGTAAATATGTTATTGTGGTGGATTTTGTTATAATAATTGAATGATGTGACTTTAGAGGGATTTTAAATGTCAAGAATTTGAGGGTAAACCTAATAGTTAGACAGAGTGCGTTGAAATCCTAATGACTGTACCACTGTGAAAGTGCTTTTGAAAATTTACTTCGATTAAATATTAGTTTAGGCGTTCCTTGACACACGATGGATTAGTTTTATTCCGCAACACTGAAATATTTGTTTCAACCATTGAACGATCTCTTTATGTGTCAAGACTTACCAAGATTACTCAGTGTTAGTTGAAACATAAGTCTTTTGTTCTGTAATATGGAGAGATATGTTCCTTAGGTTATAAATCGAATTTTGTACTACGTTTATGAATTTGTTCAAGAAGATTACATTTCCCCACATTGATTTTCAGCTATTACCAAAATACTTTCAACTTTATTTTTAGGTTAGCATTTACCATAAGTAGCGATAAAGAAAGGAAGTATAACTTTTGAAAAACCTTTCATTTCATTAATCATTTTTGTCAGAACTGTTAGTTCTCTATATATTTGATAGGAAATCAACGTATGCTGCATATAGTGATTATTTACAAGCAACCACAGGATTTCAAGGATGTTTGACATCATTTTTACTGAATCATTCTATGACTTACAGTCAGTCGATGACATCGAAAATGATGAATAACACACTTATATCAAAGTATCGGTTAACCTACTTGTATTCAAATGATACAGTTAAGGTGAAGTGCCACAATATTCTTAAAGGCTGTCAATATTCACTCAGCAGACATTCAGAACTGAATCAATGTTCACAGAACTCTTGTCATTTTAATGGGATCTGTTTGCAACAGTGGAATTCTATAACCTGTGACTGCAGTTTGACTGGTTTCACTGGAAAATATTGCGAAAAATGTAAGTTGACATTTTAATTAGTTGAAATTTAGTAACAGAGCTACCGAAGCAAAAAATCTATTTTAGGCTAAGTAAAAGCTTGTTTGACTTTCTCGAATAATATACAGTCACTTCAAGTGATTAAAAAATATTAAGAGTTATTGAAACATATTTATATTTATAGGTTATATAAACAGTTTTCATAGTAATATTATTACCATATTATTTGTCCCTTGGGTTCCAAGTGGAACATAGGGCTTCAGTAGCACGTCTCTCTGTCACTATGTTCTCTGAAATCTTTTGAACCTGTCTCCACGACAGCCCAGAAGCTTTCACCTCTTCCTCACACGATCTCCTTCATGTCACCCTCAGCTGGGAGGCCCAACACGTCATTTCCCATATGGGTTACAGTCGACGGCCTGGCGCGTGATGTCTTTGAATGGTCTTCTCAGTGTATGCCAATCCATCTCCACTTCCTTCCAGTACATGTTTGTTGAGCGATAGCTTCTTGGTTGGTCGTCACCAGCCAGAGTTCCTTGTTGCTTATTCTTTCTGGCCATCTGCTCTTCATTAACCAGCCAGCGTAGGCAGTTGTTTATGAATATCTGTAGTTTGTTGGAAATCCCTTTCGTAACGCGTCAAGTTTCTGAACCATATAGGAGCTCTGACTTGATGTTGGTGTTGAAAATCCAGATCTTGTTCACGCTTGATGCTGAGTGCAGATGATGTCCACACTGATTTCAAGTTAATGAACGCCTGTCTTGCTTTTTCGATCCTGTCTGGCTTTGACGTCCACATCTGTGCCGCCTGTAGTTGAAACGATGCCGCCTAGGTAGGTGTAGGTGAAAGAGGTTACTTCCTGTAAGTTTCTCATAGTAATATGTTGAAAATATATTTCACAGTAAACATTATAGGATATAGACCGAAGTATTTGAGGGCTTTACAGAAATTACAGTGATGGATATCATAACTAAGAGTGAGTACACAATCATCAATTTTGTCGTGTCACACACACGTAAAGCGAAATTTGGAAGACCATGTGAACATAAAACAAAAAGATAAGCATTGAAAGTTTGCTTATTTGCACAAATACTGTAAAAATCAGAATCATTCAAAGCAAATGGAAAGGCTATAAATTGAGGTGTACATATCGGAGAGCATTGTAACTAAATTATAATGCAATGGAAATTCGTACTAGTTAGCTGAGATCGGTCAAACATATATCTCATCTGTCTAGTTTGAATAAGACTGAACACATTTCATAGAGGTATTCGTCAAGAACTGACACCAGCTCAAGAACCTAGACAGCTACATCATTTTCTCATAGGAGTATTCAGTGGTACACCTCCATAATCACAACAGGAGCCGAACGCAGAATATGTCTATCTCCACTGAGGAATTCAGTGTTAGTACAGACACATGTCCTTGTTTTCAGTTCTTCTCCAACTGATGCAAGTCAGTGATATATACCAGCTTTAAATATATTTATTTACCTGAAGAATATCTGCTTAAACACGAAAGCATTGGTTAATTATGGTAAATGTAAGAATGTTAGGATAATGTTCAGCTTGCAGAATAGGATTAAAGCCGAATTTACGTAACTAAGACGTATAACGGAGGCTTCAATGAGGAACGATCTAAGTTCACTCAAAAAATTAATTATTGTTTATTGAGTCAAAGTACAAATATTAGGATATATGAAATCAGATTTATGAAAATGCATTTACAGATGTCAAAAGCTAATATAAAGTGTCTGATAAAGTGTGTTCATCATCAGCGATATCATACGATCTCAAGCTACTCACTTTATGTACATTTACGGTAAGCAGAATTTATTTTCTAAAGAGAGTAGTGATTTATTGATTGTGAACAAGGCTTTGGAGCTGATGGTTAGTAAACATTTTACACTATGCAGCTCCTAAACCATGTTGTTTACAGAAAAGTAAGTAAAATACTTGACCAGAGAAATGAAAGTTTTCATATGAAATTTGACGGCGTAGTAATCACTCGTTTTCCCAATACTTGTACAAAAATAGTTCCGAATTCTTACTCACCAGCTACTCACTTCAGTGATACTGAAACTTTGAATTGAAAAGTTCCTCCATTAAGCAACAAGTTATATTCTTCTTTTCGCGTTTTAGCTGGGACATCCATTTACCTATCAGAATCTCCAACAAGATACGCTATAGTTGAATTGAATTCACCTCAGAATACGACTCTTGATAGGTTGGCATTTGGAATGCAGATAATTCATCCCGGTTCACTGTCATTGTTACATATTCAGGGTCAAGGACAATCTGCTGACTACATGCAAGTATCATTACTGCATAATAAAGTGAGTAAAGAATATGTTAATTATTGCATTTTTATAAACCTCAGAGACGAAACAGTGATGAAATCTTGAGGTTAAAGCCCTATGCTAAAAACAAAAAAACCTAGGAAGACTTCGGACGGAATAATATTTGTCAATTAAGCCCAGGATTACTAGTAAAATGTCTCTAAACTTAACGATATGTATTCTCTCCCGCTAAGCACTTCCTGAAACTGCTGTAGCACAATGATTTTTAGTATACACTTGTGCTAGACATTTCGATTATCTGTTTTATTGGACATACTATCTTACTGATGCATTCATATAAGCCTGAATACTCATCTGCCTAAGAAAAACCTACTCATTGGCTCACTGTTTCATACATATCTGTAAATATCTGATGACGTGTCAGCTTAGCACCTCATTATATCAACTCATCTAAAAGGATATTACCGAACCTTTTCACAAAATAAGAACCCTACTAAGAAGCAACTCAAAAACAAATCAAACTTCATTACTGTCATAGTAAAACCTAAGCACTACAGAATAATGCAACTGTATCTTAGTTAATTTCCTAGGTGTATCATACAGCGAAATAGTATTATTTAGTAGATAACGTTCCAGTCACAATTCATTGTCTATAGTAATACCGAGATAACGTTACAACTTTGAGACATGGTTTTAATACGCTCAATTTCTTCGTGGTTCAGGTGGTAGCGGTTTCTGTGTATCTGGAACAGGTGTTGAGAAGTTGCTGATACACGCATTTGCCATTGGTTTGCTTAACGAAGGTTCAGTTATCAACCCCTCCCTCCATCTCATTATGTTAGTGCTGAGGATTATCAGCCTGTCCCATCCTAATATTGGGTTGTGTTTAATGGCATGTATAGTATTGCGAAGCTTTTTGTCTGTCTGGGATCTAAAATCCTTGATGTAGCTTAGCTTTGGTGTCTAATTGACCTTGGTCGACTACACTGACCTGTGTGTGACCTTGCAGTCATTATAACGAGATTTTGTAAACCAAATCCGTTTGCCTAATTACATCAATAGGACCTTAAAACCTCTAAAGCTTGTTTATGAGTGAGTTTGCGGGTTTACATCCCAAGCCAGTCTACTTGAGTATCCTATGTCATGTCTCTGACGTTCCTTTCTCGTATGGTTATACCGTAAAGCTTTTTACTTGTGTCTACACAATACTACCATTAATATTATCATTATTGTTATCAACTGCGTTACCCCTATTAGTTATATTTCTAATGAATTACTCATTAATATATTAATTATTTAGGAGGGTAATTATTGATGAGTAAGGTCTCTTAAATGCATCTGGTTTCTTGTCTTATATCTGCTATCTAGGCAATAAGTTTTTTGGCCCTGTTATTTAAACGTCTTACCGAGCCAACTGTAACCGATGTTAAGTCAGATGACTTGAAGTCTAAGTAATGATTCCAGCGTGAAGTTTTCCAATAGACACTATTGTGCAAACTTTCGTCTTGCTCCTGCGTTATTCTGCAATCCAACATGGCAAACTTCCTCACATCACAAACTGCACTGTGTTCCCTATTGAGTGTATATGTGTAAAAAACTATCTGTGGACTCTGATTTTAATACTGAAAACAAGTCATCTACATATCTACACAATATTTTTGGAAAAAGCCAATTGTTTTGATTGCTAACCATTCCTAGTTCTCGATAGATGTGTCTAATGCGACTGTGGGTGTAGGTGACCTGATGGTAAATCCTTCAGGTTGTTTGTTTATTTCTTTCTGGAACTTAAAGACTGTAGTGATCGAGAATAACTTAATTCTTAGGGTAAGCTCGTGGTCATTATTAAACTTATTTCTAATTACTTCCAGGGCCATGTCAATCGGCATATTAGTATGGAAACTGGTTATATTAAAGCTAGCCATTTCTTCACTGTCATCTATGTGTATACCATCTCATCAACGCTGCAGGTCGTCATGGATAATAAGTCTAGGTTTAGAATCGTTTCCAATCTGATCCTATACTACTGATAAATATTTAGATAATGCCCAAGTAGGAGTGTTTTTAAAATGTTTTATGGATCTGATAGGTCAAGTTGGCTTATTAATTTGAATAATAATTCAAATCCGACTGATAATGATAGTGTATGACAACAAATTACAACATTTTCAATCAACTAAAAACGGTTCCATTGTGTCCAGAATATAATTCAGTGAATAGTACTACTTCATTATATGATAACATGTCCAATAAGTCAAATAAAAGCTTGATAAAGCCTAATTAATTGAACAATATTCTTACTTAGCTAAATTTCATACATTTAAGACAAAGTCTAAAGACAAGAGTTTTATTCTTTAAAGACTGAAACTATTTATACTACAATTAACGTTATAGACAGGAATGTTGTACTCAAAAGAAAAGAAATATAGGTGACCTTTATTAAGAATAAGTAAAACTCATAACATAAATAAATAATATATATTCCAGATTGAAAATATACAATTTGACTGGTCATCGCATATTCTGATAAAGCTTTGAAACCAGCTTATGCATTTTTTATCCAACTTTATAGATTTCACTACAATCTAATCATAAAGTTATTTATTCGAGGTATTGATAAAACACTTTCTGATAAAATAAGAACTTTTTTTCATTATCTTATCAGTTCAGATTAACATTATTTTTCACTATGCTAACAAGCAAAGTTTTCTAAACACTGTTTTTAACTTATTGATATCAGATTCTCAAGTTCGATTTAAACATCCCTTGTATTGAATAATGATCTTGTTAACACCTATGCATATTTTAAAGTCTCCTAACATAATGTATAAAGGGGTCTTCAGATCACCAACCAAAGACGCTATTAAGTAAACCGTGAAACTAAAACACCATTTGAGTTTCGAACTTAATTTTGACAATGAATGAGTATTGCCGAGTATTGGTTTGAATCTAAGCAGTCCTGAGGCTTACTCAACGTATTCTTTGACCGGTGATTTGAAGTAAGATAATTAAAATTTCTCCTTCATACACGTTCCCTTGCCAACTTCAATCTTCTCTGAACGATAAAACCAGTTTGGAATTGAAGGCAATCGCGAATAATCTGACTTAGGAACTGTTTTCAATATTTCGGTTACAATTATTTGATTTTATATTGTATATACTGCAAACTGGTCCCATAAACTGGCTGCTTCCTTTCGCCCTAACCAAATTTTCCCACGTCTGTGTATAAAGAAGAAAAGTTAAGTAAGACTCAAAATATTCTCGTTGGAGATGAGTAGGGGATAATACACTGTTCTTCATCTTAAAAAAAATTACTTTCAGAACTCGGGTTTACCAGAACAATTATCTATCTTACACCCGTCTTCTAATTAAACGCATATACATATAAGTAATGTATGCCATAGTAAATGCACTCAAGCTAACGGAGATGATCAAAATTACTGGTTATCACCACGGTATGGAGTGTAACATCTGAGATAACACCTACTTAAGCCGGCCTGACCTCATACTCGAAACTCTGCTCGATACAAATTTAACATCCGTATCGTCATATTCTCGCCATTTTACACGTACATAGATACAGGGATTCAACATTTCAATCTTGTCAATGTAATAGGCACCATAGTGAAAAGTAGAAATACTTATCGGTATCACGGATGATTATTTTGAATTATCTACCTGCACAAAATAAAGGGAATCATCTGCACTTTGTTTATCTCTGCGAAAAGTTTTTACTCAGCCACCAAGAACGAATTTCCTGTTTGGTGCTGACATGTTTTTTATTGGTATTGTGACTACTTAAAACAGCATGTTACAAGAAGCTATCCTCTAGCATCGAAATTCTTTTACTATTTCAAAAGTTTATATTTGATGAGTTAACATAAAATTGACTGATTTCTAAATCTTACTTTTTACAGGATCAGCAAAATCTCCTCATAAGATATAATATGGGTGGTGGAACACAAACACTTTATCAGCCTAACGTGAATTTGAATGATGCACACTTCCATATTATTCAGTTTATACGACATGAAGCTAAAGGATTGCTGCGTATAGACTTTCAACATGAAATCAGTAAAACTGCAGAAGGTAATCTTTTAATTATTTGTGTATTTATACATTTGTCAATATTAAAATGAAATCTAATGGTGATTGGAGCAAAAGTTAATTCTAAACTCCCAAAAGAATAAATGAATGTATTTATAGGATTTTGCGACTTAGTATAAACCAACTTTGAAGAGCAGCTTCCAGGAGATCGTGAAACGTCAGATATTCATTTTTTTTCACTTCATTAGTGTTTCACAACGCTAACGATCATAGTTTTACTGATGTATGTGTTCAGAAGTGAACCTCTTGGCAATAAGCTTTTTATTTGAAAGGATCACAGACAAGAGATTCATTTTGACCCTTTTCAAAAGCTTATTCAATAAACCAATTAACTTAGAAGTTTTAGCACAAATTTAGCATGAAAGTTGAGTGTGTTTCTGTTCATAAGATTTATTTCAAGTGCTGTAGTGAACAATGATGCGTTATCCTTCTTCAGTAACTGTCTTGTATCATATGAACAAATATGATATTCGAGACTTAGGTGACCAAAGGAAAAACATGTTTTATTTCATCAGTTCTCAGTGACTTGCAGAAAAAATATTTCAAATATTGCGATAAAACATCACAAAATCAAGTTTTATTCTTATTTTTGTCTCAACAATCATGAGTTAATGACATTTAAACAAAATTTAAACAAAATTGTTTTCGAAGAAATTTATAGTCAGAGTCAGGATCATTTCAGCAGAAGTGACTAGGTTCAGTTATCCATCTATATGACTTTCAAGAGTTGGTAAATTTAGTTTTGAAAAAAATAAAAACTTCATCTAAGTTATTCTATTTATGCAAAACAGGGTGGTCACACAACACTCGGAAGTTGGAAAACACTCTGATTACCCTATCACGTCGAAGCATGTATTTTGGAAGGACGGAGACGATGTCTGAGGCTCGATTTCGTGTATGTATTTCGATTAGGCTATGCGTGAACGGGGAAATTAGCCATAATATTTCCACTGAAGCACACCTGGCAGATACAGAAGAGGACGCCTGGATCCTAGTTGCTTTAAAGTAGTCAGTAAACAGAGCAATCCTAAATTACCTGGATCTAATAAAGTAACTTCCAAGCTTGTGCATTCAAAATAGGCAGCTTTTAGCATCTAAATTCAACGATATGGTGTTCACCTCCTACAAGTGAATATATGACCGATCACAATTAATATGGGTTGACAAGACGCCTTAAAGTAGGTTGCATGCTTGCTGACACTCATCAGCAAGGTATTAGTACAATCTTAAAGAAACTGATGTTGATTCACCGATTCGAATCTACAAAAATCAAAGCTACAGCTAGAACTCTTACCACTGATCTATTCGTACTATAGTTGACTAATTTATCTCTATTACATACTCCCTGAAGCATACCGATATGATATTTGTTTTCCACCTTTTATTTGCATTATTATCATATCACTTACGTGGTCATCCACATTTAGCTTTCACTTTTGCCAAATGTAGAAAACCACTAGTCGTATGATGTAAACATTAAGTAACCTCGTTAATGATGGATCGTGGCTGAAAGTGCAATCCAGGATGCGCATTTCGTCCTATTTGGGACTCGTCAGCTGGATGTACCTGCTCCCCAGTGAGTGTTGTTCTCACCGGGATTCGGACTTGAAGGCAATCGCTCCAAACGCCAGAGCGTTATCCACTACACCACCCTTATACTAAAAACTATACCCGTCGTACAAGAGCTGGCTATCGTGGCTTGGTGGTGTAGTGGATAACGTGCTGGCGTTTGAAGCGATTGCTCTTGAGTCCGAATCTTGGTGGGAACAACATCACCCACTGGGAAGCAGGTGCATCCAGCCGACGGGTCCCAAATAGGAGGAAATGCGCATCCTGGATTCCACTGCCAGCCACAATCCATTATTAACATAATTAGATTGCTGGCATTATCAAGGCATCCGCACAGGAGCCCATATGCTAATAGAGACCGATCAATTTGGTCCAATCAACGACGGTATCATATAGAAACCCCTATACTAATTGAGTAACTTTGCTGATTCGGTACTTGCAATCTATTGTAGCTATATAGAGCAGATTTACTCTGCCTGTTTTGGAAGACCGACCCCCTGCGGATGCCTCGATAATGCAGGATGTAACATCATTCAATAACTTCCTTATTATTCGTTGATACTAGGAATTCCTAGTTCTCATACCGGACTGAGATGTCCTAACTATTTTGCGTGGGCTCGAATTTGTCCGAACATTCTTTGCTGCAATTTACATGATGGTGGCTGACAGTGGAAGCAAAGACTTGTTTTGTGCCCTCTTTCGGGACTCGTTAGCTACATCCAATGAAAACCTCATGGGTGGAGGTTTTCTCACTGAGAGGTATTACAGGCACCATTCATTAATAAAAAATGACCAATTCCTGTTGCATAAGAAGTAGGCCTTATATCTCACTGGCCTAATGGATAACGTTTTGGCGTTCAAAACGATAGTTATCGTGTCCGAGTTTTAATGGGGTCATCATCATTCACTTCAATAGGAGAGTATACTCAGCTGATAAGGCTAAACGAGGATAAAACACATATTCTAGATCCCTTTGCTAACCACCGCTAAACACATTAAACAGATTAGTTTCTATTCACCAATTTATACCATTCTGTGCTTCTGTATGGCTCAGAGACTTGGCGCGTCACGAAAGCGATTTCCAACAAACTACAGACATTCATCAACAACTGCCACCTACGCTGGCTCGCTACTGAAGATCAGATGGATTGCCAGAAAGAATAAGCAACAAGGAGCTCTGGGAACAAACCAACCAAGAACCTATCGCTGGACAAATATGCAGGAGGAAGTGGAGATAGATTGGGCATGCACTAAGAAGGCCGACTGGGGACATCACGCTTCAGGCCAGTTGCTCGAGTGGAATCCCCATGGGGAGCGACGAGTTGGACGTCCGAGGGTGACATGGAGGAGGTCATGAGAGGAGGAAATGAGAGGTTGTGGGCTGTCGTGGAACCAGGTTCAAAAGATTTCAGAGAACAGAATTCACTGGAGACGTGCTACTGAAGCCCTATATTCCACTAGGAACCCAAGGGACTAATAATAATAATAATAATTTATACCATTTTAAGTTCCATGATGTATATCACTTCATTTGTAATTTTGTTTCATTGGTCTACAGTCTTCTCACTTGTTAAGATAAAGAGATCATATCAATCTGCACATGTATTTCTTGTATAACGTGTAAGCAGTTGGAAACTAATTGACGAAACAACATGAGTTCATCGTATCATATGATCTTGCTGTTTTTGTTTTACGAAACTTCGTGAAAAACAATGCCTAATGCATGTCTCTTAATATAAACTGTTTCTATACATCGGTGATAATTTTATGATTTTGAAGCCTTGATTAAATCAGTAAGTTCAGAAAGCAAAACACCATCAGTAATACTTATCAGTGTTTACGAAACGTTCACCAGGTACTCATATAGCATTTTTATCCTTTGCAAAGTCTATATGTGACCAACTTGTGCTGGTTAGAAACTTGAATTTTTGACAACAGATCTTCTATCGTATTAGATGCATTATGCAGGCGATACCTGGATTTAAGGATCCTTATTGTTAACCAATGAATGAAATATATTTTATTAAAATTATTGAATCAAGTGATCAAGAAGTATAGGCATCCTATTTAGCCTTCTGCAGTTTATAAATACAACTAACCATGTACACTGGTTGCTCACCAGTGGGTAATTCAGATGTATTTAGTATGCTATGGTGGAAGTTAATCGGTAGGAGTCCCTAGGTGGTCTCTCTCTTGTGCCAGTTGGCACTCATTGACAAATTCTGATCAGCATTGAGGGCTTGGAACCAGACAACTGCAACCATAATCCACTAGAGACCAACTTGTGTAAATTATTCACTCCAACACATCGCCAGAAATGGTCTTACTGACTGAGTCTCTTACTTCAGCACTGGGAGACATAACTTCAAATTACTAAGCTGACACAAGTTTTCTCACGATTGCCGATACCCCCTTCTGATGAGTACCAACAGGTACAAAGCCAGGGTCTACCGATAGCTTATGATTAACTCCCACCATCTAATATATTTAACTAATCACTGAAAACTTTGGTGAAGAACATGAATTTGTAATCGATTGTTTGTTTTTGTTGATATTCTTTTTATCTTCATCTAGATCAAAATAATAAACATTTTAATTCGCTGAAAAGGATTTACATTGGTCAATTACCAGATTTAAAACGAAAGTTATTACAGAATGTGAGCGATAAGTTGATATCAGCGAAAGGATTCGAGGGATATATTACTGGTTAGTTTGAGCTTACCGTCATAAAATTGTATGAAATATCTTTACAGTCATTAGACCATTATGCTTAATTCATCAGTGTTTTAGTAATCTCAAACAGGAAATTTACTTTTGCTGGGATAATGAGGTTAGTTAGACAATACTTTGATTAAGTATACTAAGTTCAAAAACATTTTCACACTATCAAAGCGCAGCGAACTTATCCATAGAAACGGTTGCTAATGCAGGATATAAATAGAATCTCATGGTTCACAGGGGATGGTGTTTTCCGAATCATGATAATAATAATGGACTCAAGTAAAATGACTGTAAAAACATTTGATAATTGCTATCTGATGCTGTTCATGTTCCAGAATCATGTTGAAAGAGAGAAAATCAGCTTACATGTTATAAATTCTGTTATTATTACTATTATATTACTTGAACTTTGGGTTCCTAGTGGAACACAGGGCTTCAGTAGCAGGTCGCAATTTCACTCTCTTCTCTACAGTCATTTCAACCTGGCTCCACCACTACCCACAAGCTTTCATTCCTTCCACATAAGATCACCTCCATGTCACACTCGGACACCTAACTCCTCGTTTCCCATTCAGGTTTCACTCGACAACCTGGCCTGGGGCGTGATGACTCCAACTGGTCTTCTCAGTGTATGCCTGATCCACTCAATCTCTGCTTTCTTCTGCATATTTGTTGGGCGATGGGTTGTTGGTTGGTTCATTGCCAGCCAGAGTCTCTTGTTGCTTATCCTTTCTGGCCTTCTATCTGATCTGCAGTATCCAGTGAGCGTAGCCAGCTGTTGATGTGATGTATGTCTGTAGTTTGTTGGAAATGCTTTCTGCAACTCGTCAAGTCTCTCTATCATCGTATGGAAGCACCGACTTGACTGAATTGGTGTTGAAATTCCGGATTTTGTTCTCCAGGCTGAGTGGAGTGCAGCAGATCTCCACACTGATTTCATGATAATGCAGGAAGACCTGTCTTGTTATCTTTCCGATCCTGCCTTTGACATCCTTTCCTGTGCCTGTACAGCCTGTAGTTGAAACGATGCTGCCTAGGTAGGTAGGTAGGTGAAAGAGACAACTTCGTTTATATTTCTCGTGTTGATGGTGATCGGTGCTTGTTGTTATTGTTGGTTGGGTGTCTTCATCACCTCTGTCTTCTCTACGTTCACTCGAAGGAAGCCCCATCTCTGCTGCTCTGTCTCTTCTGCCAACTTGTTGGTTTTAGCCTCTAGATCTTCGACTTTCTGAGACATTATTCATAAATCATAATCGACGAAATCCAAAGATTCTTGTAGGGTCTTCTCATTAGTCAGACAGCGTATGCCCATTTTCTCCCCCCTCACAGTTTGCTGCATGATCCAGTCCAGTCCAGTAGACCACAATCAGGAAGATCGTCAGTGATAGTAGGCAACCTTCTCTTGCTAGTTTCTTCACTTCAAAGGCATCATTCAGCTTTCCACTGTGAACTACTTGGCACGTGGCATCGTCATATAGCTACCGAAAAAATCAATAAAGGTTTGTGGTACTCCCTGGTGTTGATGCAGTTGTCAAATTACTTGTTAGTTGACGCTGTCTAAGGCCTTTAGAAAATCCGATAAATTGAGGTAGAGAGTTGACTACCATTCTATGCTCTGTTATATGGTGATGCGTAGCGTAGTGTAGAAATTCGGTCTACACGTCGTTCGTTCTTCCTGAAGCCAACCAGCCTATTCAGGGCGTAACTTTCAATGCAGAGCATTTTTTTTAGCCTGTCAGAGATGACACGGCTTAATGTTTTGCTTAGGTGGACAGGAGCATGATTACAAGCCAGTTATTACAAAGACATAGGTCTCTTTGAGAGTTCTACAGGGTGGTCCCAATTTGCAGATACATTTCCTTTCCTCCTTCCAAAGCTTCAGCGATAGGGATATAAGCATGTCCACTGTTGTATCTACGTCTGTTCTCAGTGCATCTGGAGGAATTCCATCAGCTCCTTCTGCTTTCCCGGTAGCAGATTTCAGCAACTTTATGGCGTTCAGGACTTCGGCTTTTGTTGGACGGCTAGTGTTCACTGACAGTTCTGTAGGTGTGCTTGCGGTGCTATATCTGGACGAGTTGCAAGTGATGGTAGTGGCCGATTCAAGAGTTTTTGAAGTGGCCAGACCATCGTTTTGTTTCCTTTCATTCTCCTCTTTGGTAACCAGGTTTCCTTCACTATCTTTCATTGATTCCATCTGTGTTGTGTTGGTCTCCTCGCAGATAGTAACCTGGTGATTTAATGTAATGTTATCAGGTCACTCCTACATGCGGCCTGTTCTGCTTCACTTGCAAGTGTGTCATAGAAGTGTCTTTTGGCTTCCCACGAACTCCCCCTCACTTCTTTGTCCAGTGTAGTGGTTTACAGGTTGTGTTCAGTTTCTCTCTTCGTTGTTCATCCATGCACTGCAGTGCACTGCACTGCTTCATCATCTGCTTCACCATCTCACTCTCCCTCCTCCTCAGACTCACTGTGTCCGTCAAGATACATTCCTCGTCTTGTCTCCTCTTCCTTCCTAATACGGTTATGCAGCTTTCTCTACACATCTCCTTCAAAGAGTTCCAGTGTTCTTCCACTCACATCCCTTCAGAGATGTTGCTCAATGTCTCCCATTCTGTCCTGATGTCTGATCGACGTGAATATGTCCTTTGTGGTTTCGTCCTTTACTTCGGTCCAGTTTCTGTTCTCGGTGTTCAACTTCAACTGTGGTCTATCACCAGCTTGTGTGAAGGCTTTCAAGTTGATTCAGAGGGTTGGATGCTTGCACTAGAAATTGAGTGGTGTCAACCTATATCCGCTCATCCTCGTGATCTCATCCAATCTTGTGTCCAGTAGACTGCATCTACACTTTCTTCACATTCAGATGAATTCGATCTGATTTTTAGTGTAGTGTGCCCATCTGATGGTGAAATCAAATCCATGTCACTCGCTTTGTGAATATCCTTGTGTTTGCACAAACTGCCTCACCTCCAATCACTGAATCGTTGAATATGCAGAGGTTTGTTAACAGTTCTCCATTCTCATTCACCAGTTCACCGAGTGCCTCAAGACGCTTGATGGATGGGTTTCCTTCCTGTGTTGTTCTCTCCAAGTTTCGCATTCACGTCTACCCACCCATTGGAAGCTTGATGTCGTCATCTGCCATGGGATCTTGTTGCAGTTGTTTGTAGAATTCCTCCTTTCTCGCTCGATCTCGATTATTCGACGGTGCGTAGCGTGTCATTGTATGATTGTGTCCTTCCTTCCTTTTGATTTGAATCTTGCTGTCATGATCGTGATCGTGGAGGAGATTGGCTGTCACTGCATGCGAGCCTTCGATGCTGTTGCGGCCATCATGATAACCACTCCGAAACTCAGTCAGCTTGTTGTTGTCTTGTGGATGACCATTTCGGAGTAGATTATTGACTCCTCTCCAGTTGATAGTTTGGAGAGTCTACTTCCATTCCACCTGCTTTCGTAGACTCCTAGCACTACTATACCATACCCTCTCATCTTTTTGGCAATCTGATCAGTCTTGCTAGCTTTGAACTTTGTTTTAACATTCCATATCCCTATGTTGACTCTCGCTTTCATCGAGAGAAGAGAAGGCACCAATCGGCGTCATTTCGTCTCCTCGATTTCTGTGGGAAATAAGTTTGTTTTTCTTTGCGTTTGTAGTTTGTTTGGCGATTGGATTTGTTTTCCGGGGTAGGGCTGCTAGTCCTGCGCCTAAGCTTCGCTTGTTATCCAAGCTTAGGATAGAATGTTATCACACTAGACAACAACCAATGAACAATCTGTTTGACATTTTATTGTAGTTACTTTGAAAGATTGTTATGGAAGCTGTACAACTTTCCTTGCACAATAACAACTATTTTATCAATATGCTCTGGACACAGTTATTAAGAAAGTGAATGTTTCAACAGTGTTTGACCAGACCGAACGAAGTGAATGAACAGCCAATGGACTGTCTTGCAATCTTTAGTTGAACCATTTCTTTATCTGATATCCATGAGTGAGTAGGTACTAACTAACAAACAAACAGTCTCACCTCAAATTTTCTTTAGAACAACGTTGCACTGAGGTATTTGGACAGTGTTTAATTATTAATGTATAGATATAACTTCCTGTTGTTATATAGAAGAGAAACTGATCCATCTTTGCTAAAATATGCGCTTCTATGTGGACGCCTGCACATTCATCATGTTGTTGTTCGCCTTTGAGTTGCTAACAGTACAGACATCACCACTTACTGGGGTGCAGCTAGATACAGAGAATGAACACCAGATAAAAAGAAGCGCACATCTCAGATCTTGCCATCAGATATCATCAAGCAAACTATTGCAAAACCAGAGGTATTTACTCCAAAAATACCACATCCCCAGTTGTGAAAGCAGTTTATTGTCTATCACTAAGTATTTTTATCCAGTGACGTTTTCTTCTCGAAATATAAGGAAACATCGTAAAATTGGTGTCAACAGCACTCAAACTGAATTGCATGCATTGACTAATCATTTATCCACAAAACCTCCCTACAGAGTAATCTGTGTCTAGATTACCAAAGAGGCATTTTTTTAAATTTTTAGGTTTAAATTTCAATGGTATCAATCTGATTGATGTTGTGACTGAAAATATGATTCCTGGAATATACCTGAAGACTCGACAAAATATAGAAATCAATCCGAATTTCAAACCAAATATCAAGAAATTAAAAGTGTATCAAAAAAGGTGAGTTTAAATAAAGTTCATCTAACTAAATGTTTTCATTTCTTGAAAAAAGGCTGTCGGAAGTGTTAATTCGAAGGAAATAATCACTCACTGGTCAGATATTAAATATTATTAACCATTACGCAGTATTAAAATTTCGATATTTCTCTCTAAATTCAATATGAAGTTTACTGAAGAAACGTTTTTGCATATGTTATGTGAAATCAGTCGAAATTCTTACATTTGCTACGGGTCTAGCTACTGGAATGTGTAAACCATAAAGAATCGCATGTCATTAAAAAGATTGAGTGAAAATGTCAGAAATTCAACATGTGGATACTGAACAGACCTTTTTATAAAAAAAGACGTCAGAAAAACGTTTTATGTTCAGTAAAGCATGAGAATATTGTCTTTATTAGCCTGAGATAATTTTTCCATCAAGAAAAATTCACTGAATGTTCTTTTGGATAAAAATGGCCATGAACGCTTTCCTTACAACAGACATTAAAATTTGTACATGTATAACTTCTTGTGAAAGATATCAAGAAGAATTTCATTCTGCTTGAAACAGCCAAAATTGTTTTGCCGAAAAAATAATCCCTGAGTAGGTGGTGGTTTATATCTCGTTCTCTTCCTTGAAACTACAAAAATGAACAACGATAAATCCATTGTTTTCTTCTCCAAAGGAAGCAACAACATTCTAGTGGTGGTAACAAATGAGCAATTTATGTTAATTTCCCAAAGAAAGTCTGGTGAAGCTGTTACTCTGAAGGAAAACGAAGTGTAGTGGGTGCTACTCATAATCAGTATATTTTTCGGTATCGGAAGAAGTCATAGGAAATTGCGAGTGATAGATAAATATTCTGTTCGGAGAAGCGAAAAAGATGACGAGGATGAATCAGCAGTAAGACGAGATAGCAGAAGAAGATGAACTTAAACATATTGCGCAAATTGATATTTCAGCGGAGGGTTATAGTATTTTATTATTAATATACAAATCGTCATCATAGACAGTCTTTCTGGGCTTCACTCTTTGCCTTTTTTCTTCTATGGTAACCCTGCGAAAACCTCTGAAATATTTTACTACGTTTGAATTATTTTCTAGTGCACGGTAGGTACTTATGAATAATATGATGATATTAGGAAGAGACCTCTTTTATTTTCATATCGAAAATGTATGCAGATATTATTCAATCTATAGATGGATAATCTTCTAAGTTAAAATTTATCGTCTGATAAACAACTGATATTCTATGCTATGATAATCATACATGTATCAGGTATTAAATATCATATTATCATTTGAGGTGGTTTCAGTTATTTTGTCAATGACCAAATCTAGTTGGGATTTGATGGGTTGAAAAAAATCTGAGCATTGGGTAAATGATATTCATTATTCTGTTATTTGTATTTCGTAATGAATGTAAAACAAAATAAATTTGTTTCAAATAACGTTTTACTATTTAGTGCTAATAGGCTTATCAAAGTAATAGTAAACCGGAGTTTACTATATCCAAGCTTATATCGAATAACTTGACAAAATAGAAAATAACATTAAACTTGATCGTAAACTTGCCCCTAAAATATGGACCTTAACAATAGTTATCCCTTACAGATCACAAACGTCAGATGGATTTAGCTCAATAAATGAAATATCAGAATGTTCTACAGAATGCCAAACACATTGCAGAACACCTTAGTTAGTCCGAAAGACAAGATTTCTCTAAATTCACAATCTAATTGTGTTTATAAACTAAAATGCTCAGACTGCGATACAATAAGCTTCCACTCGACTCTTTAGAAATCCCTTGAAACTGAAGAAACTAGAAAACATTTCAGCCATAGCTCCATATGCTATAATATCAAATCACATGGTCATTTTTGACTATATCAAAATAATTCATAAAGGCATTAGAAATTGTAAAGAATGTCTTATAGTAGAATCTCTTCACATAATAAAGTGGAACCGAAATTGTCTAAATAGGAATAAGGAAGTAGAACGTAGTTTGATATGATTTCAACCCATCCTCACATACCAACATAAACACGGTGTATACTATAAGAACTATTCACATATGCGTACGTAGAAGTCTCATTCTGCAATTCATACACTTTTGACATACAATATAATACATATAAATATCATCTTTGTTCTACATTTTTGATAATACAGAAGAACAGTTGTTAAGCTTGGATACTGTAAATTCCGATTTACTTAAACTTTAATAAACCTATTAGCATTAAATAGAGAAACTCCAGTTAAAACAATTAATTTTGTTTTACATCCATCGGGTGAGAAAAATAACAAAATTATGGTTTGAGTTAGTCAACTTTGCAGATAATTGAAGTAAAGACTGGAACCGTAAACATGAAGTTGATACAAATGAAGCCTTCTGTGGAGAATCCTGAGGTTAGAATTGCTGCAAGTGTCTCAGTGTCAAGGCAACAAGAGAATATGACATGGGTTGATTAAATCAAACATTACAATACTTATCTTGTCTTTTTCAGCATAATGGAACCTGAGAGTACAAGTCAAAATGAAGCAAATGATATGCAACTTACAGCGGTTAGTTATCTAAAATATTTATTACTTATCTGAACATTTTCTTAGTTGAATTATTATAAATATTTATCGGTGCCTTGTCTACTTAGAGGGACCAATTAAACAATACAACCGACAAACATTCGATAAAACTTTTCTGTTTAGCTTCCTAAGTAGTCCTTAGAAGTCTTTTTGAAATCCTTATTTACTTTATCCGTTGTTGATTTAAAAACCATCCATATGGAACATCTACTCAAGAAATTCTGAAACAGTTCTATAACTGTTACAGTCAATTTGAATCGTTGGAGGTAAAGGCTAGCTTTAGGTTGACATTCCGTACGGCATAAACATCATCTGAAGAACCAATGAAAATCTAGCAGTACTGGAAAGCTGTTTTGTCCCAGTTCGAGACTCCTCAGAAATGTGCGCCAATGACCTGGTCAGGAATTCAACTCAGGACCTTTACGTTCGGCTACCAGCATGTTACCATTCGCCATTAAGTTAGAATAGAGTGTTCCATACTCTTCTAATTCGTTTAGTTTGTGATATAGCCCTACCGTCATCAAGCGCCATCATTGAGGACTTTTTCTCACGTCCAACTCGGTCTGTACACCTGATCACGAGTTCGTATTAGAACTTCGGGAATCTGATCTCTAAGCAAGCCAGTGATGATCACCAAGCAGTAATTCGGTTTGGAAGTCTGTAGAGATTGGTTTATTAATTTCAGTTTGGCATTCATCACAGAATAATACCAGTTAGAAAACAAAAAGGTTCAAGAGAGAGTACTGTTGAAAATTCCCATACTAGAATAAAAACAATTGTCCAGTGCTCCCACTTGTTCTCACTTTAAGTTATTAGTTTCTAACTTCTAGCGAATTCGTTCACCAACTTATCTAAAAGTCGACACTTTCATACACTTACATTCTGTCGAATCATCGTGAGGGAAGAACTAGTCTTCTATGGGATATCAAGTTTCAAAACCTTATGTCTCTAAATTTCCCCATATATATGATAAACTTTCACTAATAATCAGCATTATTGCCACTTAAAAAGATAGAAATTACCTTGCAAGTACACTTTTTATAGTTATTTCTTGAAAGGAAATTTTCACCTCTTATATTTCATCTTATTAACTAGACAGAGTAGATCCCTAGAACAAAATATCAGAAAGTGATACAGTAATGTAATTTCAGTAGAAAAAAAGGAATATCTTAAATATTCGCCGACTGTAAATAGGATTCCTAGAAAACAACATAATGAATTACGCTGAATAAATGCATAAATCATGGGGAATAAAACGCGAAAACTTAAACCTTATTTCACCTCATGTTGAATAACCAGGTACAGCAAAGTGGTCTAAACTTGTTCTTGTTCCTGACACCAATGAACTAGGAAGTGAAACGTCTATTGTCTACAGCTATGGTACTAAGTAGATCAGATCCGATTGGATTGTAGTTTGCAGCGCCAAAAACTTCATCTTGTCAATGACTAGATAGGACGGAAAATATTTATTGTAGGGCGCTTACTTAAGATTTCCCTTTTAACAAGAATGCAAATGTTTCCGCTCGGAGTTAATAGAGTCGAGGAAACCTTGTTTGAATGAGCTGCCGTCCATAAGTGGAGTATTGCATGTCGAAACAGAAATGCAGTTAGTGGCAGCCTGCGAATTTGTGCGCTAAGTCACAAGGCACAGCTGCTGTTTGATGTGTAATGACACTATCTTTCCATTAGGTGCAGCAGGATTTGGACCACTGACCCAATGTTTAGAGTTGAAATCCCTTGAATAACCAGCCACAACCCCACAATATTACCGGTATTTACTGAAAAAATATCACTCCGAATAGGTGCTTTCACATCAAAAGTAGTAGATAAAAGCATGAAACAAAACACAGAAAACAAATTTCATCTTCAGGAAATAACTTACACTAGTAAAGCACTCTTCTAAATAATGCAATAATAATTGAGAGCAAGGTAATGTCATCTATTTTGATGAAGAATGAGACCACTGGAACCCTCCAAGGAATCCTGAAATTCTTAAAGTATTTCACACTGAGTCAATAAGCTGTGAAGTTTACTGAAACGACAACCGTTCATAGGTTTGTTTATGAGAGTGGTTGAAAAAAGGAAGCCACTAGTCATTGAGTGAGGTCTGAAAACAGCCAACCCTACTATGAATACAAACTGTTGTACTTTCTATATAACTGATGGTCTGAAGTATGATTTTTTTCATCGCCTTTCCTATCTTCCCAGGATTGAATCTGCTACCTAGGTTAGGATTTGAAGTTCATTGTTCAAGAATCCACGTGTTTTGTAATCAGTTTATAGTATTTCCTGAAAGTGAAGAACCAAACGCCGTTATGGTCATATGAATAACTATGTTCTACATGATGAACCAAATGGGTTTAACGCTCGATTAGAATGTCACTGAAACCATAAATTTGGAATACTTTTCGAAGATTTTAAAATGATATTAACTAAAATTTTATACATTTCAGACAGATTTCCATGATAAGATGATGGATTATAAAACACAGCCAATTATTGTACCTAAAACCAACTGCCTAACATCAGATCGTGTATACAATTACAAGGATTGTCAACCTGCTGATCTGGATGGCATAATTCGACCATTCATCACATTCAACGACAATAACGCATTGTCTATGAGAGCTGCGTAAGTAAATACCAATTTAGAGACTTTTTTCATTCAAAATGTTTCTCACCTTTAACGATACCTTTTGTCCAAGTATTATACATGAAACTGTTCCATAAGATATGCCCATATGCTTAATGCAAGTAAAATATTTCTGTAAATATCACATAACACAAGTATTTTAGTCGATATTCACAAAAAGGTGCAAAAACATGAGTTAGGTGAATTTCTGCCTTAATCCACGAACAGTTGAAAAATCATGATAAGAAATAGGGATAAAGAGATATAACCGTAGTATTTGATTGATGATTACGTAACTAATATTTTCCCATCCATAATATGCAAAATATGACAGTGACTAATTACATACCAGTAATACGCAAATGTCGATGTTTACATGTTCATGTAAAGTATTATGACTTTATATGATAGATTGTGTTATTTGTGGAAAAATAGTTGCGAACATCATGGAAATCATCGATCGTATCAACTTTTGACATAGGCATCAAGTTTTTGTTTGCATAGAAAAGCTGAAATTAAAAACAACCGTATTTAAGGGTAATTGTTCTTTATGCTTCATTATGGATCTGTGAAGGATATAAATAATATGTAAAACAAGTCAAAATCTAAAGTCTATTTAGGTAGAAACATTTTACAATTTCCTAAGAATAGTTGTGGCACAAAATGACATATTAACATAGAGAAGTCAATTAATTTTCGCCTTACATAAGTCCGAAGTGACCAAATGAAGCAAACTGTGATGTCAAGAGATTTTTGGAAATTTTTAAAACAAGTTAATCGTATTATTTTATTATATGGGATTAGTGAAATAACTGGATATTAGTTTGACGAATAAAACTATTTACTTCCTTTTTCCTTACAACTTGGGAATTTTTTGTCTCTAAGTATGAAGTGAATGAAATACTATATATTAACCCCTTAATTGTAGAGGGAGTAAATAAATTTTAGACCACCTGAAGAGAAACTTGACATTTATCTCTCAGTTTAATTTTTCTCCTTCACTCCCCTGCTATATCATTTCATGGAGATGTGAAAAGTACACATGAACTTTTAAAATCATATATGAGAGGTTGTTCAAAATGTCATTCCAAAATGTAATAGAAAGAAAACTGATAGCGCTTAAATGTAAGCGAGTCTAACTTGAGGAAGTTTGTGCCAAAATTCATATTCGAAGCTTTGTGACCATTTTTTTTGAACATATATTCTGTTTTATAAGGCTGAATTCCATATTTATGCATTGAACTGGTTGATTCTAATGAGGGTTTGAAGGAAATAATGAAGAATTTTTGTACTTCTTGTCATAATAACTGTGATTCTCAAAGTTTTTATGCCATACAGAAGTAAACTGAAGGCCAATTTTGTACTTGTTGGGTCTAACTCCGACAGAAGAATTTTAGAAAAACATTGAGATCCAATGTTGTCTTACATACTAAAGGAAGTATAAATTTGACAGGATACATCAAACTAACTATTCACTAAAATATGACTACATCAAATGAATCGCTCTTATAGTGGACTTCTTAATCCTGTTTAATGCCATTTTCACAGTTCCATTCATTCCTACGCTTGGTTTTGTTTGAATCCAGTGACTGAAATCATTTGTACAGTGCGAATTTGGAACAGGTTATACGATAATACACTCCGAGTATTGTTATTTTATTGATGTTTTTATTTAACTCATTACTGCCTTGCCAAGTAATTTTTGATCTCAACTTATTGGTTCAGTCTAAAAGCTTGAAGACGATAGTAGGAAAGCACAATCTGTTTGAATCATATAGTGTATTTGTGCAATGCATTTCCAACAAGCTGAAAATGAACGATATTGGGATGACAAAGGTAGAAAATACGAAAAGATGTCTGGATTGAAGGGTAGAGCGAAGTTTAGACAGTAATTGGAAGCCAATGAACGGATATAATAGCTGTGTTTCAACATACTATACGTCTAGGATCGTTTAATGGGAATCACTCAAACTGTAAACTTTTCTAAACGCTGGTAATATGCCGACAGTAATGCCATATTCATTGTTTGAATCGAAAAAAAAGTGAGTGTGGCTCCAACTATGTATTCAAATTGGTCTGAAAAGAGAATCGAATTGTCTGACTCAACGGATGCTGATTACACACGTTTAATTTTATGTATTGCAGAACATTTTATACTGAAATGTTATACAACTGACGTTGCTACACCTTTGAAACCTTTTAGAAAAATATGTTACCGACATCTGTCTGCATTACGTCTCCTGCAAAAGCATAAATAAGTATCTATGTTATCGGATTATTAGAAACATGTTTCTTGAATATGTAATAAGATATAGAAAAGTTACATGTTACTAAAATTTTCTCACAGATAAGAAAGCTAATTGTTTAAAATCATATAATTGTTTCGCAAAGATAAGGGTACCATCATATTATGAAAGCTAGAATTATATTAGCATGTGATCTGCAAAAGAAAACACCCGAGCTATAATAAACTGCTTATCAGGACACCGAAAAGAGCCACTACTCAATAATAGCTCAAACACATGCCTGACTACATAGCTGATAATGCTAGTGATTGCAACGTCCGTCCAATGCACAAGTTACTGAAACTGAGTTCCAATACTTCTCAGGGACATCTGAGTGAATCATTACTTGTCCAAGATAACAAGTGACAATGTTAAATAAAATATGTAAACGATCATACACACCACAAAACCTTATCTACAGTATGAAATTTACATGACGTGAGGCGATCAGTCTAATGATAGAACATTATATGGTCATGACTACTTTCAACTTACCTCTTTACCTCTTTATAACCTCTTTATGTTGTAATCTGCTTAGTAGCTGCTAGCGGGGGGATCTTGAGAGAAAGAGAGAGTTTCCTCCTATTTGGGACTCGGCAACTGAATGCATATACACCCTAGTGAGTGATGTTTACAATAAGATCGGAAGTTAGTATTCATCATTCCAAACGCCAAAGCGTTATCCCTTAAGCCACTGGCGCATGATACACGGCTTCTATGCAACAAGTAGCAATGGTTTCTATCCAGAAGAACAACGGGAAATTACAAGTATCAATAAGTAGTAGTACCTTTTAAACTTATACATACATAAAATTACATAGCCTTCAGTAAGCTATGTGGATTGGTAAATGATTCACCTGACAAAATACATATGTGTGATATCTAGAGAGTTATCAGAACAACTACGCCTTAAACAACTGTCAATGCAACTACGAACCTATGGTTTTGATCAAGGATTTAAATATACATTGTGACAACTGAAAATCTAAGCAGATTGAACATTTGTTTAGTTTATTGTTCATATTGCCTAACTCCACCGATGTACAGCTCATTGATTGTAATATCTCATACTGATTCTCTACTTTTTTGCCTAGTGATAAGAATGAACCACAACGAGGCTGGAATGCTGATCAAAGTATTAACAGTAAACAGTCTGAAACAAACGATCTACATTCTGTTCAAAGTTATACTAAATTTGACCAATCAAATGTCAATACCGAAGAAATGGAACCATTTATTAAGAGCTGGTTCAATCCTTCTACAACTGGTAGTGGTAGTAGTAGTAGATTATCTCAAGAACATGAAGAAAGTACGGATGGACAACATGAAGCATTTTACAGAAAAAATCAAGTAGCCTTTGACAAGACAACTTACGAAAATTCAAATATTTTGATTAGGTCTGTTATGGAGAGAAACAGAAAATTCCCATTCAATATAGTACTCATTATTGCGGTCTCAATAAGCGGTATATGTGTTCTGGTCGTTTTGACTTGTATTATATACCGATGTATGCGACGTGATGAAGGCACATACAATGTTGAAGAGAGTATAGCGTATACTGGAGAAACACTGCAAAGTAGTAGTATTATTAGCAGTAGAATGAATACACACAGAGAGTCACCAATACCACTGATAAGTTTACAGCCTGAATTTGTCAAATCACTAACCTTGTTGACGGATACTTCTCAAACATGCAATGTAGATGGACGAACTTTAGTCAAACTCAATTTAACAAATGAGAAGTTAATCCTCACAAGTAATGAAAACGAAAGTAATCCCGATTTGATAATGATAGACAAGAATATCAACGATACAACAGTTACCAGCAATGAAAGCAGTAATACCAATAATGATGTTAATACCAGCGGAGCAACTCGAAAAACTCATTTAAAAACAGAGAAAAAAAAGTCACCAGTTAATCCTAAAGAATGGTATGTTTAAACTGTGATTTCATGTCTTTAATATTGTTCACTGTAACCATTTTCCTTCCTTTTTGTATTTCCAGTTGATCCCAGTCAATCACTTCCTCTCAATCAAAATAACTTACTGGTCAGAATGTAATTTATTCCAGAACTATTTCTCCCTCTTCTCCTAAACAATGATAATTATAGTAACAAATTCTGTATATTGTAGACGGTAATTTGGTCAATAACTACAGTAAATTGGCTATAAAAATGTTGATGTTGCAAGATTTTGGTTCAAGAATTAATGAAAGATCTTCTGACGATATTTTAAACTCAAGATTTAAGTTTTTTTTTGTAATTTTAATTCTTTGCTTTCACTTATCTACCTTTATATTCTTTACTTAATGTACAGACAAGGATAAAAACTTTTTAAGACAACTGGAACTTACCTCTGTTGTTGTTGGCAGTTTATCTTTTTCGAAATGTAGATTATTTCTCCCAATCTTATGAAATAACTGAACTGAAACATACCAAGTATCCCTTATTCAATTGTATATCTTTTCTATTCTGCCTTCCTGTATGTTGCATTTCACAGTGTCATAAGCCACTCAGCTGCATTTTCATGATAATTAAGAGATAATTTTACAAATTACCGAGTAAATCATCGTATTTTGCCAGTCACATTTATGCATATTTACCTATAGATAACCTCAGAATATAGTATTCAACATCAATGGGAACTTTGAATATTGCTGTTTAATGAGATTTTATTTTCAAATTTTTCTGTCCACTGTGAATAGAAGATTATTAGGTCCATTATAAACTCGATTCTTTGAATAGTACTTCTGTAACTGAGACATTGAAATAGATAAATACTTCATGTATAGAACATTCATGGATCACTTTGTAAATATTTGTAGGTGGTGAGTCAATATTCTATCATATGAACACGACTTTCTTTTGATTTAACTATTAGTAGAATAAATCGTGTACCAGTAAAAGTTATTAACTTCTGCTGTAAAGAAGGTATGGCGTACAGACTTCATATGTCTACCATGTGTGAACAAAGAAAAAACTTTCTGACCCCATGGGATACAATAGCGTCAGATAACTAGGATAATTTTGTGAATACTTTCAAAATATGTTTCATATTTTTAAAAACGAACGAGTTACTCATTTTAACCACCAAATATGTAAAAATATACAATATAAATATTTCTTCAAAGTCTCAAAATCTTCAAACCTAGTTTCTTTACTGCTATGATTCTAATATTCCTAAACCATATTGTAAGACAGTTTCTGACAGTGTTGACGGAAAGAGCCTCTAGAGTATCGCAACATAATGATATTCACTTTTTTCTTGTTTGCCTAATCTCAACAGCGTCTTAGATACTCAATGTTCTTTCTTCTGCTGAACGCATTTATTTCTAGAGGTCTCAAATTTCTGGTTTGAACGACTTATATACTAATTCATCATAGAGGAGAAACCAATTCCTAAAGGAAAAATGAATTCTATCAGTCAATTTACATTTTGGTCATCGGTTTCAGAAACTCTTCATTACACTGAAATTGTGGTTGATGTTACTTTGTTAAACGTTGTATTTGGGAAGTCATGGAATCCGACTTCCCTTTTCTTGGTATTTGGCACCGAAATTTGTCTGCGGTCATAAAGGGACTGATACTTGCTGGAAAACCTCAAGTGAAGTCACTGAGTGCTGCAGTGGGACAACTCCCCTATGGCTGAATTAAAACATGTTTATTGAAAATATAAAAATTTCACATGTAATAGATTCGATACTGAGTTCTTACGAGATGATTTTTAAGTGTTCAGAATCCTTACCGTTACTTATAATGAAGGAAAATATGGCTACAAGTGGAAGTTTCGGCAACCTTTCATAACGTTATATTTATCTTTGTAACTGGTAGGGGCTTGAATCCAGAACCCATCACTTTGAACGTGGGAGGTTTATCAAGTAAGTCACTGAGGCACAAAAGCTACCTCTTCGACAACCGGTATCAGTCGTTCTTACGATGCTTGTAATTTTACAGCCCTGTACAAGGCCAAATTGCTCGACCTGTATTGACAGACGGGCTACTATGTGGACGCCTTGATACTGCCTGATATTCATTATGTTATATTCACCTTGGTGACTAACAGCTGAGTCAAAGAAAATTTGCCTTGTATAATAACTGGAAATTACAAGTATCAAAACAACAATTAATATCCATTGCACAAGAGGTGGCTATCGTGCCCTAGTGGGCCACTGAATAAATTTCTAGCATTTGAAGTGATACATAGTGGGTTCAAGTTTCACTGGGAACAGCATAACTCACTGGAGTAAGGATACATCCAGCTGACGAGTCCCAAGTAGGATGATACGCGTGTCCTGGATTCCAATGAGTCGCCAAGACAAATGCAGGATCATGAATATCCAGCAGTATCGAGAGATTCGCACAGGACACAGACAACCAACCAAGGTCTTACAATTCGGCATTGTAGAGCAACGGGAAGTTAAAAGTATCGAAAGAACTTCTCATGACTATTCACTTAAAGTCTTAAGTATTCGCTAATAAGTTACGATAACTTTGATATAACAAAATGAAGCAATTAAAACTGGGGAGTTTCATACGGACTTGAAACATTCTTAAAATTTTTCAACTGATTCTATCTCTCAGTCATCACCTTCCAAAATTTAAAATTTATGCTTTGATTCATTTATTTCACATAGCAATTAAAAACTACCGATTACAAAATGGTCACTGGATATTTTGAGAACATTCGCTGTTAATTCGCAGACCACAGCGACTGAATAAACTAAGCTCATGTACGCACGATGACAAGTAAAGTTCAGTCTCAACCACTATTTTCTCTAATTAGCTAAGAGTAGGTCTTCGCTTCTGATTCCTTCATTTGATGAGGAAATGTGATCCTTTAATAATGTTACGATAATTCTGCAAAACAAATAAGGTTAATTCTATCACATGTAATAATATTATCTTCCAACTACATAGGGAACAATATTAGATACAGTGCTCAGACCTTACGGTTTGGTGACGCATAAATAACCCTGCAGAACTGACAAGTTCATCGATGAAATCCATCTAAACACCGCATCATGCGTTACTCAGATGAGAGGTGATCACTGCTGTACTCTAGCTAGGTGGATAATGTATCAGAATATAAACCTCATCCACCAGATCTCAAGAAACATAATTCCTAACGGTATGGAGATAAACAGGATCAGCACCACTCTGTAATAGTTTATTTTTCAGATGCATCACACAGTGGAACAGTATTATTTACAGGATAATATTTTGGAAACAAGTTTTTGTTCATAGTCATATCAAAATAAATCCACAATATGCAGACATCATTTATTTAGTAGTAATTTCCTCCCCGCCTTTGTGACATGGGTAGTAGGATTTTCCATATATCCAGAACAGGTACAAAATCATCTTTGTTGCACGTATTAGGTGTTGATTCGATACACAAAGTTTCAATCATCAATCTCTCCTCCCAACCTAACGAGTTACCCTAAGCCATTTTCATCCTGTCCCATCCTATCGTTTAAATATATGTTGTTGTATGCATAATTATGACCGAGCTTTTTTTGACTTCCTTATTTATCAGAAAATACCAATTTAGATCTAGTTAGGTTTCTGTGCTGGACAGTCTAATTGACTCTGGTCGACTACCATAACCTACATATTTGATCTCGAGATTGTTGCAAGGGATTTAGTAAAGTAAATTGTTTTACTTAATAGGATCGGTAGAATCGTTCGACACACAAAACTTATTTTTAAGTAAGTTTGTAGGCCTAAGTTACGTAGGTTTCTCAATAAGGCTGGGATTAGAGTGACATATAAACCTACTTTACTAAATCCCTTGCAACAATCTCGAGATCAAATATGTAGGTTATGGTAGTCAACCAGAGTCAATTAGACTATCCAGCACAGAAATCTAGGATGGGACAGGATGAAAATGGCTTAGGGTAACTCGTTAGGTTGGGAGGAGAGATTGATGATTGAAACTTTGTGTATCGAATCAACACCTAATACGTGCAACAAAGATGATTTTGTACCTGTTCTGGATATATGGAAAATCCTACTACCCATGTCACAAAGGCGGGGAGGAAATTACTACTAAATAAATGATGTCTGCATATTGTGGATATATCTTGATATGACTATGAACAAAAACTTGTTTCCAAAATATTATCCAGTAAATATTACTGTTTTACTATTTGAAACATCTAGTAAATGGTCTAAAATTGAATAAGATTTTACTCCTATGCCCAAGTTTTACTCTTATATGAAGGAACAACACAATAAGCTATCAACCAACGTTAGCTGTCTACAATTAAATGTAGTTTCATAACTCGCATAAATTCTCAGCTAGGTAATTGCAACTGAAGTAAAATATTTTAGTGGATGAATGTTAAAATAAATATTCACATGATAACTCACTTCTTACGTTTTCAAGTGAAACATAAATGTAACAGTTTTATGCAGATTTGTTACGAAAAAAAATTGGCGTATATTTTCCGTTATACATTTTCGAAAGAAGCGTGATTCGGACCTCTTTGAAGAATTCTAGTCTTAGTAACAAAGAAATCTAAAGAAACAACACTGATAATAAGAACCATTTAAAATTCTGTACACCTGAGAAATTGTCTGAAAATGACGTAACTATTGAGTATTAGGTTTAAAATAGGAACTTAATACATCTACTGTCTACAGGTGTATAGTTCTTGAGAATGATGTCGTTGAATGCGCTCACGCAATGCCTGGAATATCTGAGAATATATTCCCTTTAAGACTTACTAATGGATGATACATATTCCCCTCTAACATCTATATCTTGATGTCTGACTTCAATTTGGATTGCACAGAATAACTTCAAGGTAACTTCGTTGCAAGGCTATTATCTCTATCCCGGTTGGTTCCGTTGAGCAATAAGCACTCTGTAGCTAACAATCCTCCCAGTCAGTTGTATCTGTCCTTTATGTAATGTTTTGTCGTCTATATTAATACTACTTTTATTTTAGGCTTCATAACATTCTAGTTTCAAATGAAACTTGTTGTTCGGTGGCCATCAAGTTTCCTATCAGATTACAGTGATGTGATGAGAAGTATACAAATATATGTGACTTTGAGAAAGGGAAGTAAGGAAATTTATCATCGCTTTAAATGGATCCTTAGGTGTAGTAGACATAAACCGAAACATTGTTCAACCAAATACTCTTTCAAAGCTTATAAATTATTCCTAACACTCAAAAAATGGATCTTAATGTCTTGATTTTTCAGACGACATCAAAACATAAATAATTTTCAATGCTTTGAATACGATATCTCATCTTTCTGTTTGAACATGAATAAGTATAGAGGCCGTGAGTAATATGGAAATTTAAGATGACAATACTTGTGTAGTAGAAAAGGTTCTAAATGGATAACAGCTGCATATGGGTGAGCTGAATTCAGCCTAAAAGTGATGATTGGGTGTGTGGGTGTATGAAATGTTAGCCGCAGTCACGACAAGATTCGAACTACCGTGTTCTATAATCATGAATATGGTTTTCGCTTTGCTTTAAACCAGTACATTTTTATCATAAATACTAACCTAGTAAAACAGTGTGTTTCTACCAATTTAGCGGAAATGAAATATTCTCTGCTGCAAATTTCTAAACCATACTTAATCAAACATGGGATTTTTAAAACATTTGTAGGCCATTGCATTTACTAAGGAAGCAAGCAGTTGTAAATCTTTATTTGTTAGCTGGAGATGTGGCTCACTTGTTTAAGGAGATGATGGGTTCGAACGTCGACCCAACTCCTGAGGACTGGGTAGCCGGGTGGTATCATTAGCCATCACGAAATGACTATGGTCCATTGCCAAATACACCAACGTGCACCTGGTTACTGATTGAGTTTTTCATGAAATAAAGAGACCTGATAGGCTGTTTCGGCGTTCCACACGATGACTATTTACATAAGTCAAAATCTACGGAGTCTCGCCCACTATATTTGAGGTTTTCAGACCTAATATAGCTGAACGTTTTCATTACTTGCAGCTTAATATTACTAACAAATTAAATTTCTTCAGAATCAGGCATGCTAGACGAATATTCCTCAACAGTTTGCATGAAGGACAACCCCAGTGATCGGACACCAGATCTTCTCATCTCACAGTGAACATATTTCCATTCGCCTGCTTCGTCGAAGGCCTAAGCCTCGCGTTC